TATGGCCCCTATCAAAGGGACTTTGGACATGTAGCACAAACTGAAAACCACGCCTATACACATTTCTCTACGATGTAACATCGAAAGATTCAGAGCTGTGCTTCTCCCCGTTCACTCGCCGTCACTGAGGGAATCCTTCTCAGTTTCTTTTCCCCCGCTAAATGATATGCTTAAGTTCAGCGGGTGATCACGCCTGAGCTCAGGTTGCAATACAAACGATAAAGAATACTACTATCTCCAACATGTCCCTGTTTGAATCAATCTCATATTCATTGAGTACATCTAAACAGTGATAATAGATTGATATTATTGAGAGGAATTGATATCATTCAGAAGAAATTCCCCGTAGTTCAAAATCTACGGCTTCAACGCAGAAAGGGTGTTCCCTGGAGTGCCGGCAAACTAGCAAAGCTTGCGGATCTGGTCGAGAGACACAGAAAGGCAAGTGGTTCCATCAAATGGCCAGAGCTCAAGTTGAGTATGGACAATTCACGGAACGGCGATGGGTCGGAAAGATCAGAGGCAGCCCTAAAATGCGCTTGTGCAAATCTGGCTGGGCAGACTGGTCGTACGAGGAATAGCAATCCTCCTGAGGGCATTGCCCAAGATGATGAAACTGAACCCGCTGTTACAGACGCTGTCCTGACCGATCAGAAAACGCGACAATCAGAAGTTGCCTGCAGCACTCGCTGAGCAAACTCCATCAAGTCACGAAGGGGGTTCGGGGACGGACCACCCTGGTGAGACTCTCGAAGTTCAGCTGCGAGCGCGATTTAGAGAGTACTATCGAATCGCGAAACAAAGCGAGACAGGCAACCTATCAGGAGGCCGAGGGGTGATATACCTGAGGGCACTTTACGATTCGGCAACGAGATCCTTCTCGAAAAGCTGGGAAGTAGAATTTCCACTAATAAAAGAACACTGACAGCTTTGAATGCTGAGAAATTATCTTTTGAGAATAATAGCAATCCTTTCGCATGAACTCAGCTGGAGAAGAAGAGGAAGCAAAGCTGCCCCAACGAAGCAGTACCTAGAAGTCGCCAAGCTACACAGAGTTACAAAGACCGCGGAGGTACAGCGACTCCTGGTTAGGTTCAAGGACGAGCTGCGTATTGTTGACTCTGATATAAAGCTAAAAAAGCGGCTATAAAACGGGTACGAGAGAGGCAGCGGGGATACCCCGCTACCCTGTTATTGCCGGTGAACCACGAATAAGGGACTCGAATGTTCCTGTTGTGGAAGTGCGTGAGCACAGGAAATCCATCATAGAAGATCCGCAACCGTTCCATCCTTCTGAGGACCTTAACGCGTGGGCTCGCAACGAACAAAGAGCCGAGAGCAGGGCTATGGGCCTGTGTGAGGAGGACTTGGCGGGCATATTTGCCAAAGTCAAACTTTGGAAAGCTACGGGTCCAGACGGAATTCAGGGTTTCTGGTGGAAGAAACTACAGGAAGCCAAAAATAGGCTAAAAGCGTGGTGCCAAGATGCGCTTCGCATGCCGCGTATAATCATCCCAAAGTGGCTTTGCCGCGGGAAGATCGTTCTGTTTCCAAAGGGAAGTTCACCGGGTCGAGGTCCTGGAGAACTTCGTCCTATATCATGTTTGCACACATGCAATAAAATTCTAACATTCATGATTGCACAGCAGTTTCTCCGATACGCAGGAGACGCGCTCCCTCGGGAGCAGGTTGCCTTGCGTAAAGGGGTCTGGGGTTGCACGCATGCCCATATTTTGGATCAGACGGTCTGTAAGGATGCCCTGAGGCATACGAACGCTTTGCACGCCCTGTGGGTGGACATGACAAAAGCCTTTGATTCAGTGTCCCATGACGCCATTAAATGGATCTTGGCTAGAGCCGGGGTGTCGTCTCTGACAAGGAGGCTTCTCTCGGTTCATGACAAAACAAAGCGTTCGCTATTGCGGTTGCCAGAATGGTGAACTGGTGAAAAGTGAACCATTAGACGTCAAAAGAGGAGTGATGCAGGGTGACACCCTCGCCCTCTTTCATTCTGTATAGCGATGACCCCCATCTCGTAGTGGCTCCTTAGAAACGTGAGCCCATATCGAACATCTACTGGGATGTTATCGTTGGCAGAAGGGCCTCTAGAGGTCAACGTTAACCATCTCTTCTATATGGATGACCTGAAGGTTTACTCGCCGCGTTGGGATGATATTGTGAAAGCCCAAGAGGGCATCCAACGAGTGGCTGATGAGCTGGGATTAAGAATGAATCCCAGCAAGTGCGCCGTGCATTCTTTGCACATGTCCCAGCCGCAAATCATGACAGCAGGATTGGAGGATATACCAGTCCTTGGGTCGAACTCGCTCTACAAATACTTGGGAGCGGAAGAACAGAACACTCTTGTAAGTACGGATCACCTGTGGTCTCGAGTACGAGAAAAAACGTTGAAACAGCACGGCGGATCATGCTCAGCGACCTCACAGTTCGCCCAAAGGTCAACGGATATAATCAAGTGGTGACCCCGAAATTAAAATATGCCTTCTCGTGCATCATTTACGGAAAAGGTAAACTGGGCACTATGAGAAAGCAAGCAAGAGTGTTTGATGAAACAATACGCAAACTGCTTGCAGAATCGAGGATGCGGTTAGGGCACAGTTGCGTCGCAAGGCTCTATGTGAGCAAAGAGGAGGAAGGACTTGGGCTGAAGTCCGTGGAGGAAGAAATGGAACACACCATCATTTACACATGGTGTTACCTTGCTTCGCACCCGGACTTCCAAGTTCCTTATCACCTATGTGAGAGTCTCCGAAGCAGCAGCAAGCGATCACTAGTTTCCGACTTTAACCCGTCATGGCGAAGATAGGTTTGAAAACGACATAGCTCGCTTAGCTCGAGGATCCATTCTAGTCAAAGAACGCATATTCACGACGGCCACTAGTGCTGCTCGTGCGATCTCGAGCCTTGCTCATGAGCGATGGGCTCGAACACGAAGACATGAATGGAAGCGGCGAGAAGTAGCGGGCAGAGTGATAAGTAACAACGAGGCGGATGAGCGCCCATAGGTCTGTCACAAGAATTCGTTCCTATGATCACAGATCGGATGGGTGTCCTCAGAAGTTTTACGAAATGTTTGGGCTGTTCAGGAGGCCCCCTCCCCACAGAAGGCAGCGCTTGGGGCCAATCTATATGAGGAACAGCAATCAGCTGTGCCGAATGCGTTGCAACGCCAAAGAGACAGCAGAGCATATGTGTCTGTCTGTAATCATTGGCTGGACTAACATCATGTTGGAAAGACATGACGATTTTGCCAGGATCTATTACTCCCTGAAAAAGAAGTACGGTCTCGATTCCCAACTGACAAACACACACGAGTCACATGTAGTGGAAGGAAATCAGGTGATATTGCACTGGAACGGCCGTATTCTGACCAGGGAGAACCTGAGCCATGACAGGCCTGATATAGTGGTCAGAGACCTGAAAGAAAAAGTAATATGGATCATCGAGATTTCGGTCTCGTGATTCACAAGAATAGCTCAACGCTGAAGAAGTTCCATAAATACGGAATGAACAGCTGTCTCCCGCAAGAGACTGGACCGGATGAGTTCTTCCCCGGCGATGAGTTCTTCCCCGGCCCGAACTTAAAAGCTGCTTTGCAAGCACAGCACAGAATGAGAGTTGAGATCATGACTTTCATAGTTGGGGCTTGCAGCGAATGCTCTCCTAATTCGCGTCAGTACGTTCGACAGCTGAAGCTGCCTTATGGCGTGAAAGCTGTCATGGAGAAGATGCAAAGCTGCGCAGTGCGCAGTAATAGAATAATAAAATGCCACTTGTCCAATGAGGACATCTAGGCATGTAGAAGGGCCCATAAACCCATAAGTGTTTATGCCCTAGAAAGGGGTGAAAACCCCATTCTGCACATGCACAATGAAGTCGCATGAGCAGTCAAGCCAGGTGTCCCGAAGGACATGAAGGCATTGCGAGAGACGGCTTACCTGATCTCGTGAAAAAGGGGCCGGCGCTCCTTTTCATTCAAGCGCGGGCGAAAGCCGCATCATTAATCGGGTCGGATCTACGGCTAATTGCCGTCGTGGAGGATTCCAGGACCCCATAGGTGACTAGTGGAAAGGGCTCAGTGAATTGAGGTGGGAGGGTAGTCAGCAAAACCTGACGCGCATAAATGCATGATAAACTTCACAGTCGAACATGCATGGCTAATAGAGTGAACCTTCGACTGGATATTGCTAGATCCTATCGGGTGATCTAGGAAAGATAGGCTTGGCAACTGAGTTGTGAAATGACGTGGATTACCATCTCTGCGCCCGCAAGGGACCCTATAACATTACTCCCAGTACGCGGGCGTATTTATTCCATGATCTTATACTTCGAGGAGGTATTTGATCAAGTAGTGAAATTATGCCCCAGTGGCATCAGAATGTATGAGAATAATTAATTCATACCCTTCTGTTCAAAATGTCGAACCCGAACTCGAACAAAAGCAAACAACCGGCTAATGCAGATGGAAAAAAGTTCGTTGAAGTGGATATCGTTGCCTTCATGATCTGCATTAGACCAAGGTTAGTGACATCGTAACTGATCGATAGCAAAAACTAATAGTTTTACTTTTAGGGGACCCAAGTTTTCCGTGAACCGAAAAAGGATCATCAATCTCGTCGACGAAGCAGCACCAAAGTCGAGAGAGAATCATCGATTGAAAAATAAAATTTCGCAGCTCGAAGCGGACTGCGAAAAATCAAAAGCGACAAGAAGGTCAAGAAGAAACCTACAGAGGAAGTCGTAGAAGTACCCAAAGAAAGTGGTGGCAATGATCTCCCTCGGAAAAAGCGCGAGAGCGATCCTGCCCCGGTTCCCTCTCGCATGGATGAGTAATATCCTTGATTTCTGTACATTGTAAATGGTTCGACTAATAAATGATGGAGTTTTTGTTCTGGTTTTTTATGGAGGGTATATGCCCTTGATATTTGACAGTGAATAATGCTCATAATGTTCAATTAGTAGGATCATGGAATAAATAAACCTGTGGAACGAACACCTCAGAGGGCGTGATGGTGATTTTACTGCTCAAAGCAAGCATGAGGAAAGGGAATGGCTCCCAAAAAAGGGCAAGTACAAATACCCTAGGCTTGGACACCACATCAAGTGGATCAGAGGATCCAGACAAACTCAATGAATGAGTTGGTACAGTATTGCATCACATCACAGAATAGATGTGATAAAATATGGCATATAGGGCAGGTCTACGACCTGGCCCTGACTACAGTAATGCTGAATAACAGCAGTTAGGATAAGAGGTAGTACAAAGCCCCAGGCCCTGACTACAGTAATGCTGAATAACAGCAGTTAGGATAAGAGGTAGTACAAAGCCCCAGGCTTGGACATCAAATCAAGTGGATTAGTTGATCCAGACAAACTCAATTAATGAGAAGGTACATTATTGTATCATATCATAGAATAGGTATGATAGAATACAGCATATAGGGGCAGACCAAATGTCTGACCCTGGCTAAAGCAAATGCTGAACAGCAGCAAATAGTAATGAGAGGCAAGTACAAAGCCCAGGCTTGGACACCATGTGGACTAGTCAATTCAAACCAATCTATTTGGTTGGTACAGGATTGATCGTATCATAGGGTAGGTGCGATAGAATTGTGCATAAAAGGAAGGCTGAGGCCATCCTGACATATATGAGAGACAAGTACTCAGAAATATCAGAAATATAAAAGTGGAGATTCCCCATGGCACGTATGGCAGCAACCATACTTGAAACAGCGAAAGATGGTGAAAGGGTTTGAAAACCCAGCTGGAGACTATACAAGTCGCGATTGACAGTATTGGAAGGGCCCCGGCCCGATTCTGTACTACGGTCGTAGACCGTAGTACAGAATGGAGATTACCAAGGCAAATATGGCAGAGACCGTACTGGACGGCAGAGACCATACTGGAAAAAGCGAAAGATGGTGAAGGATCTGAATCCCAGCAGAAGACTATATTGCAATTAACAAGAATGGAAGGACTTCGGCCTGGTTCCATGGCTGCGGCCGAAGACTGCGGTATGGAATGGAGATTCCCAAAGCAAGTATGGTTACGACCATGCTGAAAAATACAGAGAGCAGCATTTAGGTCTGAGGGATGGACCAGACCAACGGCTTAAATTTCCAGGCCTGGCCGGCACGAAAGTGTCGGTTGTCTGATCACATAGCTGATCCGAGGCGAGTATACCCTATGGTCGCATGCGGCTGTGAAAGGGTGTCATGATATGCCTGTTTGGACATGACTAGTGCACGTAGTGTACTGTTATGCCGATGTGCGTATATTAGGTTGGCGGGAAAGTTTTGTCACATTTTTTAACCCATCATATCAGTCCTCAGATCGATAGCGTCCAATCGATAATAGCAGCAGTAATAGCCAAGGTAAGGCTGATCCTAATAGTAGTGCCCGTTTCACTTTTCACTCCCCTTCTACAGAATGGAGCACGAATTCGTAACCAAACCGTGAGCACCTGCGCCACATCATCCTTTTTTCTTCCACTCCGGATCGAACGCGACAGCTACCGAAGCCAAAATAAGGGATGTGTATAAGGAGCATGCCCCAGTTGTCGGGCGATGTTGCGGTGGTACCAGCGCTTCACGACCGGGGAGTACAGCCTTGAAGACGAAGACAGATCAGGACGCCCATCAGAACTGGACATGAGGCAGCTACGGCGTGTACTGAAATCGGACCCCTTCCAATCCACAAGGGATATGGCGAGCACTCTTGACACTCACCATTCCCTTGTGGAAGCTGGATTGCAGAAGCTGGGAATAACTACAAAACTGGGCCGTTTTGTGCCACACCGCCTCAAGCCTGCCGACCTTGATCGCCGGGTGGATGCTTGTTTGACCCTGCTGACTATGCATAAAGGGTACAAGTGGCTGGACCATCTCGGACGAGAAGTGGATCTATCACGACATCTTCCACAGGAAAGCGCAGTGGGTTCGACCTGGAGAAGAGCCCAAGGAGACCCCGAAGGAGATGCACCCGAAGAAGGTTTTTGTCCGTATGGTGGGGTGTACGGGGTCCCGTTCAATGGCAACTACTGGGTGAGGGGTCGCCATCACGGCTGACCTCTACACGCAGCAGCTGAGAGATTTGAGGAAAAGTCTACTTCCAGCATGACAATGCCAGACCGCATACAGCGCGAAGTGTCAAATCGGAACTGGTGCAATATGGCTGGACAGTTCTGTCTCATCCACGTACGGCCCAGACCTCGCTCCTTCCGATTACTGGTTATTCTCCGACCGTTACCTGGACGGGAAGAAGTTCAAAACCCGTGCCCAGGTCGAAGTTGAGCTAGCATTGTATTTTGCCTCGGGTGAGGCTCAGCTCTGGAGGGATGGTATCCATAAGCTACCTGGACGTTGACAAGAAATAGTCGAACGCAACGGTGATTACATTTAATCTAATATGTCTCTACAGAGTAATAAATATTCTTTTGAAAAAATGTGACAAAACTTGTTTCCAAAGAGCCGGGCAGTAACGGCGTCGAGCCTAAAGCAATAGGAGACTGTTAACAGTGGCCTTGTTCGCTGTTGACATGCTAGGAGCGGCCGGGTGTTGGAGGAAACCCGCGGAATCAAGAGAGGACAGAATTCTGCGGATTGAACGCCACTACAGAAGTGGTAGGTTAGTGGAAAATGTCGGGTTAGACCCCGTTCCATATCACAGCTAGACACACAAGAGGTGTACCTCATGGTTAGCTTGGTTGATCATGAGGATCTGACCTATGGATGCATTCATCACTAACGTGCTAAGAAGCCAGTGGAACTTGAACAACAATGTGCCTTAAGGAATAGATACACAATGTGAGGCAGACCCAAGGGCCTGCTGGCGGATGTACACGAAAGTGTACAACTGTAACAGGAAGGCAGCCAAGAGAGGTGGAGCATAACTGCCTTTAGAGAGAACCGAATTTTCTGAGGGTCAAACAGGTGTATAAGGGATGCTTCACCTGTACCCCATGATGAAAGGACGGGTCGAAAGGGGGATTACTGCTCTGTACCCTGTTTCCCAGAAAACTGTGTACGGCCCATCTAAGTAATATTTCGGGGGTATAAGGGATGGTTCATCTGATAAGGTTTGATAAGGGGCCTTAGAAAGGGAGGGGACCGAATTCGTAGCGCAATGGCAGCAGCTGTGGGACCGTGGTTTCAACAAGTGATATACACGGTAGGGTGGTGGCTGCCAAAAGCTGATAACATCTGATAAGACCGATAAATGACTTTAGACGCGGGTGTCACCCAAATCTCTTAGCGCAGGTTGCAGCGACCCGCGGGACTTGATTTCGAGACTGTGTATGGGGAAGGGAAAGGACGTGATTGTGATGTGCACAGAAGGCTGATAAATCCGAGTACAGATTCGATAAGGTGGCCTTGGCATGCAGGAAGGTCACCAACTTTATAGGGCAGGTTGCAGGCTCTATAGACTCTCTTTGTTCAAAGAATGGTTAATAGGGGAGGGGACGGAACCACACTGACTTTTGGCACTAAAGTTAAGCTTATCGGCAACTGATAAGGTTGAAAGGCGTCACATGCGGGAATCGCAGCATCCCTTCTCCACTATGCAACTTGATATGATCAGCGTATGCTGCATGACGGTTGTTTTACTCAGTTGCCATAACACCGCAGCAATTGTCGCTCTATCATATGATATGAACTATCTTTTATCAACAACCCTGAGAGAGGGTGCTGGAAGCGTTAAAAGCGTACCGAACTGCGGGAGTGCATTCCCGACTAAGAGACTCTACGTAGTCGAGACACCATCAAGCGGTGGGATGCTTTCAAAAGGACTGCTCTAACCAGGTTTGCTGAATTTTAGTGTGAGGGTTATGAGATTTTTGGCTACTAACCCTGACAAAAAGAATGCGCAAAAGGATAAGATTTAAGCGCTACAAATTTGGGACACCGCGGTTACAATTCTTCCTAGCTATATGATATTCGCCTAGTAATGTCTCGTCAGTGTGTGTGTTTGTGTGTCTGTTGCGTGGTGTCGTGCCGTCGCTCCGTCTCGTTTGTCACGCAAGCTTCATAGCACGCGTACCAGTAGTGTGGGCATGTTTTCTCCCAAGAAGTGATCTAAGGGGATGGACGGGAAGATTATTGGCGGGTGACAGAACGGTTGATAACAGTTGATAAGATATGATAAGGGTACCTTCGGACGAGAGGATCACCAAGTCGTAACAGCAGGTTAGCAGCAACACGGTGGGACCTTGGCTTGCCAATGATTATTGGATCGGAGGGAGGACACATTATTGGCAGGTGACAGAAAGTGATAACAGTTGATAAGATACGATAAGGGGTCTCGAAAGGGGAGGACACAAATTCCGCAAGGTTCCGGCAGCAGTGGAACCTTGGATCGGAGATGATATACGGGTGGTGGGACGGAACATTATTGGCGAGTGACGAAAGTGATAAACAGTTGATAAGATCGATATAGGTCGATTCAAAGAAGGATGATCAAATCTTGTACGCAGGTTACAGCAACGCGTGGGAGCACATAATCGGCAGTGATTTAGAGATGATAATGATAGTGATATGGACCGGGAATATTTAGTGGCCGGGGACGATGTTGTATGAAGCTGAAAGTGACAAGTTAGCGTGGGAAAGTCCGCTACAGAACAACGCTTGCGCAGCAATGGCAATCGATATGACTCGAGTATGAAACTATCTCATCCCCCCCCCACCATGACTCCCTCCCCCCCTTCCAACTCACTCATTCCTCGCCGCTCATCAGTGAGCGGCAATCATGTACGCCACCGCCAGAGTAGCTTCTATTCCGAATGCATTGGGTTTGTTTCGAGAGTTTTCATGACGCAGCCGCAAATTCGACTAATCCACTCTTATACACTAAGCTCCATCAATACTCACCTCAGTGACGGCACTTCGCAGCGTTCCACTGCTAGAAACGCTGGAGATGCATTGAAGAAAGACGCTTCGCACGAGGGGGGGCGGGCGGAGAGGGGGGAACTTGCATTGAATAGTATCGATGCTTCAGCGGCTGAGGCTAACGACTGCTCTATTCCGTCTGTGTAGGTTATCGACTACCAGATCTAGTAGGCGCAGGCTTGCGCAGACTGGTGGGACCCTTCGATTTCGAGAGCTGATATACATCAGGACGGGAACACCCTTGGATAGGTGACAGGAGTAGACAACACTGGATCATACAGATTCGGATGAGGGTGCCTTAGAAGGGAGGGTTCACCCGATTCGTGCGCAGTTGGCAGCAGCTGTGGGACTTCTGTTTTAAGCAGTCGATCCAACCTGCGCTCCCGATGCGCGGGCTGCCAAAAGCTGATAAAATCTGATAAAGACGATAAAGGACTTTAGACGCGGGTCGTCACGCCCAATTCTTAGCGCAGCAGTTGCAGCAGCCCGTGGGACATTGATATTCGACGAAGTGGCATGTCGGAGAGGGCTGGACACATGACTCGCGTGTGTCCGACAGAAAGCTGATACACTGAATAAGACTTTTGATAAGCGGGAACTTAGAACGCGGAGGGTGCACCTTAGCTACATCGGCTGTAGCGAATTGAGACCGCTGGTTCCGGATCCGCATACAGCCGAGGCGACCGCCGCGTGGGCCTGACCCACATCCGCTAATCAAACCTCCATGATAAGCCTTTGTAGGCGCACTAGATGCGGAGGGCCACCCAATTTTGTAGGGCAGGTTACGGGCGGGGGGGTTTGTGGGACCCCTTGGTCCAGGACAGTGGGTAACACGGGGGGGGCGGACACCCACTCGACAGGTGGCCGCACGCCAGATTGGCTGACAAGAAAATGAAAACCTCCATCATGCGAGAATCCGAAAAGCACCGTCACATCATATGCCACTTGATATGAATTCAGGTATGCAGTCTCTCTGATAGTTTCGTGCACACTCACTCTTATGCCTTCTTCCGCTATCTACATCACGTAAATGGCGCGCTAAAGCAACTGGAGCTCAAGAAGCCATGGGGTATGTTTTACTCAATCTGGCATGACTGCAGGCAACTGGCTTTATCACTAATGTCTATGACTCTTTCATAACAGTCTGAGAGAGAACCATAGCAGTATTCGAAAGCGTTAAACTGCAAGTGCGAATTCCAGAAAAGAAACTGGCAGTACTGAGAGCGCATAAAGCGGTAGGATGGTCTCAAAGCTGCTCTATACAGGTTGCTGAAATTTTTGTGTGAGGGCTTATGGAGATTTTTGGTACCGTCGTCATCCGGGCAGTTGATCCTAGGCGCGGTCGTCCAAGGCCGGCGCGGGATGCCAGAAAACTCATTTGACCTCTTTTCCAGACTAATTATAGCTCACTTTTATCCAACTTTTCACTGTTTTGGCGTACTTTTTCCCAGACTTCTAGCAGCTCCTTTATCTCTATCAAAGGGGAAAAAATGGCTAAATTAGACTTGGAAAAGCCAAAGCTAGATTCCTGGCCGCGCTTAGGGCCGTGGAACGACGCGCTATCCAACTGCATGGTGAAAGGTTACTACATCCGAGAAAAGGATGTGGACCAAGGATTGATTTCAGCGCATAGCCGTTAGGGCAAGGTTAGCAATAATCCATATATTAATCGGCTCTGTCTGCGTGTGCGTTCATCTCTTTGACACTAAATTTCATCAGCGCGCTCTCAGTCATCCAAGCACCAATGTATTGAGGTTCCAAGCAGTGAACGTAGAGGTGTGACGGGAACACTATTGGTCGGGTCGATAAGGAAAGTGACGTTTGATCATCCCTCGCGACCTAATCACTCCCTGACTCACACGAAACCTCCAGGCAGCGGGCTACCCCACTTCCACCAAAAAACCTTCGTCCAACGCCGAGGCTATAGCCATCAGCAGGTGCTTGTTATCCACACCATAGACTGCTACAGGGTAATGGCCGGCAGGACAACTCGTCTGGTGGATGACAGCTTGTCGAGCCTGATAAGATCCAACGGGGATGTTAGACCAGGGTAACCGCGTCACGTGAAGCTCCCTCCGCGAGTCAGCAGCAACAGGCAGGAGGCTGACTCAAGATAACGACTGTAGGGTTCAGGAAAAGGAAAATAGGTTGGTGCCAAAAACTCGCCAACATCTGATTCACGCCACCTTCATACCAGCCCGGGAAGTCACGAAAGCATACAGGCACCTGTATTTCTCCGCTGGCGTGCAGAGTCACGCGCTGGTTCCCGCACCAGTGATTAACACGGGCGTCGAACTGGGCCGTCAGGCCCCACGGTGGTGCACCAAAGAGCCGATAACAACCTGATTAGGGACTCCGATACAGAGGGTCCCGCGTCCTACGTTTGTTAGACGGTGTTACAGTGCTTTTGAGTACCCCAACCAAAGTCTTTGTGGAAGGACGAGTGTGTGCTAAGTTAATCCATACCCAATTTGATTAAATTGCTGACAAATCAAATTTCGCTCACATTTCTTACAACTTTTCAACGCATTCACCCTCAGCATTATAAGGCTCGGTGCGTTCTTTCTCTGATGTCCATTAGAATTTAGCAGTAAAAGCCGCTGTATGCTTGCCCGATGCTCTCGCAATGATTCAAACTTTACACCGCCATTGCGTGAGCATATTTTTTTGATTATTATTTTCATAGCATTTTGCTGAAAATGGGCCTGATGCCGTTTTGGGACTCCAACGAAAATTTCGTCTTCGAGCATCATTTTAAAAGTGGGAATAATCAGCAATATCCGTAAAACTTTGTTATATTTGGCGGTGATATCAACATCACTGATCGATTTATGACATTTCATTTTTGGCGCTGGCGCTATGGAGACACACGATGTTACTGCGCTTGCTACAAGGAAAGGTAACAGGTCGCCATGGCATTCAGGCTGAGATGCATACTTGCAGTGTGCGTCTTGGGCACTGGACTCAAATGCTGGTTTAGGATTTGCTGAACGATCCTTAGGGGGGCGGAGGAGTTAGGGGAGGGGTCGTATATGCATAGCACTCGCCCATCCTCCTTTGCAGTAGGCTCCGTAAAAGTTGAATAATAAGTCCCAACTGGTCGATGGTTTAAGTGGATAGGTTGTTTTCATATACTGAGAGTCATCGGTTCGTTCTTGACAGCTCGCGTTTTTGGGCCTTCTTTCGAACATCTTCTGCGAGTTCCAGAGAATCACTTCTTTCCGTTATTTTGTCATGCTTGCTCTTGCTTACAGCAGAAAAATAGATTTAAGTGCCGACATCATTCGGTCTGCTTCCTTTCACAAGTTTTTGGGGAGTATTTCCCTTATCAACTCACACAGCAAATCACACCCACCCCAAACATTACAGGCCCATTATTATGACGACACCCAATTCTTCTTCTAAACCACAACAACCGAATCAAGCAGAATTGGCTGAACAGTTGCCTAAACTAGGGTATAGTCCATGGACTACTGACCATGAATATACCCAAACACCGTCGGCACGAAACATCCCTGCCACAGGCTTCATGTCAAAATTCCTAAATCACAAAGTTCGCTGGAAACTTGTCATCTGGAGTAGTTTGACCTCCTGGACACAGAAATCCCATTAGCTGAGCCCGGAAATGCCTGGCGCCGGCGCCAATACTCGAACCACCATAATCATTAAACTTTTCAACTGGAGCAGTTTGACCTTCTAAACACGAGCATCATATCCGCGTGGGGCGTTGAGAATGTTTGGGATAAAGAAAAACGGTAATGTAATTACGGTAATGTAACCTGCGTCAGCACCCCTCCTCATGAGGCCCTTCCTCTGTATGGCTGAGCCTTAGCAAGAGAAGGATCTCTGTGACTGGCAACTAGGAAGAGTAGTGCGTTACTAAGAACAAGCATGTGATGGGTCGCTTGTGGCTTACGCGTCAGGCGTTTCAGAAAGTTTGGATGAGATATTTGTGTACAGGAGGTCAAAATACCCCAGTTGACAAGTTTCCAGCGAACTTTGTGATTTAGGGTATTTTGGCGCTGGTGCCTGTGGCACGGATGTTTCGTGCTGAGAGGATGCGCTGATTATGATCAGAAGGGCAGACGACCATAGGGGAACTTTTAGCCAATTCTGCCAGTAAATGGTAAACACTGCCCAAAAGTCTTGAAAGGGAAGCACAATTGCCTTCACTTAAGTCTTTTTTTACAAGAGCAAGCATGACAGAATAACGGAAAGAAGTATTCTCTGAACTCGCAGAAGATGTTCCTAAAGAATGCAAAAACGCGAACTTGTCAAGGAACCGAACCCATGACCTCTCATGTATGAAGCAACCCACCTATCCACTAAACCGTCGACCAGATGGGGCTGTATGTATTCGAACTTAACTTGAGCTACGCAAAGAAGAATCGGCGAGTGCTATGCTAGAACGACCCCCCCCCCTAACTCCTCCCAGAGGATCGTTCAGCAAATTCTGAAGGCAGATTTGACTTCAGTGCCCCGAGACGCACACGGCAGTATGCATCCCATCTTGAATGGCCATGGCGACCTGTTGACCTTTCCTGGTAAGGCTGATCCCATAAGGCAATCGTAGTGTCCTCTCCTGGCGCCAGCGCCAAGAATGAGTGTCATCCTCGTATTCAGGATGTTGCATTACCCCTATACAAGTTTTAAGTGGATTTGGTGACTTGGGCAATTTGAAAATGAGCTCGAAGACGAAATTTCTGGAGTCCAAACGGCATTAGCCCTGAAAATGCACTGTGAACGTTAGGCGTATTTTGCACACTCTACCTCGCCTATGGAAAGAGTGCCTGGCGAGGCCAGGCCGGCCCGGCGAAGCCGGGTCCTGACAAAGAAGGAGGAGCACCCTGTGGGAGCCCAGTGATCCGACTTATGGTATACAAGCTATCAGTTGTAGAGTTATGTGCGGTTTTAGAAGCATACAGTATTTTTCCTGAATACCGTGAGTAAGCTCAAGCTTCTGATGAAGTGCTCACATAACACCCTTAGCTGGTCTCGTGGAAAATTGGTCTGCGCATATATATTCTGCAGTGAAACCTGAACAACGCAAAAACATTTTATCCAAGTGGATATATTTCATCTTCACAATCTAGTAAACGTTTCTCAACTCCTCCAAGTCCAGAAGAATGCGCACTCGAAATTAGACCAGCTTGAAATGCCTAACAATGTGCCGGGAGTACGGTCGCAGGTCCCGCTACGAAGCAAAGTACTGTAGTTTCTCAACAAACTCCGTCCCTACACTTAGTGGCTTATCAAGGTGAAATGAATTGCTGAGGTAAAATCGTGATTCTGTTGTGAGGAAACCGCTCAAGATTCAATTTCGCCATTTGATAGTGAGCTATTCGAATAGATTTCTTTCTCGATTCGATTCGGAGTATCCAATTTATTTAATAGTTTCACTTTCACACAAACGAATGGGTTCACCTAGGCCGGAATTTATTCCCTTGTAGTTTAATCAAGAATCTTCCGGCCTACAATTGTTCCTTTGCACTTTTCGACATTAACTTCTCTACCTTTTGAATCTAGCACCTTAGGGCGGTGTTATATTCATGTTCTAAACATGAAATTACCTCTATTTTGCCGAGTAAGGAGCAAAAGAGCAGATGATTTATCGCTCAGCGTGAGGTCCCTCCACCCCCAAATACGTTAACATCCCATTTTCCTCCTGCCACGATCGAATACGACCCCCGATGAGGAATCCTCAACGATGAAGGGCTGAACCACCGACAATAGGCAGATTCAAAATCCGCGCTCAATCGCTGTTTTCGTGCCAAGCCACGCCCACCTGCGCATCTAATCACCGGCGTTTTCGAATGACGTCACACGATCGTGCGTGTATAAATACTCAGTCGACCGTCAGTCAACGGCGTAAGTCGGTGAGTGTTTGAGGACGTTAAAACGCTTATGAGATGGTTGTGTTCGTGCTGCATTACGCTAACAAGGTGCTCGCATTGGATTTGATAGATTGGAGAGCTTCATTCGGTAAGAAACGGTATAGAACAACTTTGACATTTTTGGTTCGAAATCTGTGAAGGGATTCTGTCAAACATCTTAGTGATCAATTGGATATTGTGCTAGCGATATGTGCATTGTGGGCAGAGAACTAATTAAGGTGAAAGTTGCCATTTCCCTCCTGGACATTTGAGCATTTCCTCGAAAATGTTTTAAATTCGTGTTAAATGTTGCGGCTGATCTTTAACAGAAATCTTATTGCCAAAAGAAAGTTGAGAGAATGTAATTCTTTTTAGCGATGTCCAGTCGGTACTGATGCTTTAAGTCAGTTTTCAGAGTTTTTTCCACATAGCTCCTATACTAACCAGTTTTGAATATCGGTATTTTGAAAGATTTCCTGTTTAGGCTGACGTTCTTTGGGGGTTGAACACAATGGCGCAATCAGGAGGAAATACCATTGTAAGTTTTCCTTTTGCCGCACCACAACATTGTGTTTAAGACCGTGACCAAACCTGTTCTGGTTACTTGGCGTACTGTTTTCTTCCTGGATCTAGAACGCCCTTTCTTCAATACTGCTATGAAATTTCAGCGGTCACCTTGAATTAAGTGCCCCGACAATCATACTAGTAGATTTTCAGGCTGAGATTTACAAAGGCGTAATTCAAGACGTGATCAGTCAAGTCAAAGAAGCGTTCTTGGATGAGAATGTGGATATTGATGTGCTTACGCAGTTAAAAAAGGTGCTTTGGACGTTTATTTACATTTGCTGTTATGGAGTCCCCTGATTCTCCAGGACGACATGAAATTATGAAGTCGTTTAAAATTATTTATCCTACTATATGTTAGTGCTTAATACCTACGCAGCTGCGATTAATTGAAATAGGTGCTCCAAAAAAGCAGGTGTATTCTCTAATGGAGCTAGAAATTCTCCAAGGCTGTTCGAGAGGCAGTAGCGAACCTTTTCCTTCAACTGAAAATCCTAAGTTATAGGAAAAAAACTGTTCGCCAATAGAATTTACCTGAGAATTTACGAATGAACAAGAACTCAATGAAAGAATGATATAAATTCATTGCAGAAAAGGCGTAACTTTTGGATGTACAAATTATTGACAAACTGAGTTAGAAGCAGCATACGAATTGTAGCTGTGGAAGAAGGCAGAATGACTACTTAATCGTGCGATACAGTCGAGCGAGCAATCCGATCGCTGATTGAATCATCATCGCCAAGTATGAACGCGCTGTTGCATCAGAAGCTGTAATGAGCGACTCAATCTGATTCCTACCCCAAAGACTCGAGAAAAATTTCCGCTGAAACTCTGCCTATAGATATTATACGTTGTCCTGATCACGAATGTGACATTCATTTTTGGCGCTGGCGCTATTTGGCGCAGGTGCTAAAAAGAAGCCACCCTTTCTCACCAAATTTGATGTTCAATACGGGGGTTAATTGACGTCCTGATAACGAATATGCCACCTACTTTTGACGCTGGTGCCATTTGGGGCCACAGCGTTTTTCCCTATCGATAAAAACCCGCGTAATAGGAGTTTTTGAAGCCCTAATCACGAATGTGGCGTTTATTTCTCGACACCGGCGCCATGTAGCCTTATACCAAAGCCTAACCTGCCAGAAGGAGTGATTCCCTTCAGGGCAGGCTCTCCCTCAGCAGCGCTGATCTCATAGTGTCTTACTTAGCGCCAACGCCAGGAGTAAATGTCATATTCATAGTTAGTCATAAGTCATAAGACCCCAGCATACAGGTTTTCATCGACTTTGGTGACATAGGGTGTTTTGGGTGCTAACATAGCTGGGAGGGGCCACGCGGCGAGTGATAACTCGTCGGCATACCTGAAACGCGATCTAGCAGCCAAACCAGAATAAAACAAACAAGATTCACCGGGAACTTGCTGAAAAATTCCACAAAAGCTAAAAACTTGATTTTTTGTAGTCAACAATAACAGTCAGCGACAAACATGCAACATAACTTTTGGATATAGCTAGGCGAAGTTATATTTATGTCCTAAACACGAAATTACTTCTATTTGCCGAGGAGGGAGGAGAAGAGCAGATGAGTCATCGCTCGAAGCAAGCCGCGTGGCCCCTCCCAACCACGTTAGCGCCTGTTTTGGCTGATGTGGTTTTCTTTTCATGAGGTCAAACTTCCACTAAGGACAAGTTTTCCGCGAATCTGGTGATTTAGGATATTTTGGTGCCAGCGCCTGTGGCGCGTGCGCCTGGCAGTTTCGAGCTGAGCCTCGTACGAAAACTCGGCAAGAAACCGGCCTGATTTCGGAATACTGGGATAGGAACAGTTCAACAGTGCCCAGTCTTTTACAATAATGTTTCTTGAGTGTGATTAGTTTCAATGAAACTTGATTGCTCCTTTTTATTCGGCTTCTGCTTACATCTCTTTTTTTTGCCTTCTTCAGAACGTAAAGGACGAGAATCGCTTGAGAATGGTCCACTCAAGCCTCAAACAGTTCCGAAGACAATACCTCGAACTGGCAAGCCACCAGTAAGTATCAAGAATTCAGAGAGTGTTATGATGCTCACCTTGGCCACCGTCGCCGTGAAACGGAGTCGATCGGCTAGTGATATCGGCTAGAAACCCTTAAATTAGTATAGGGGAATGTTTGTAACCATAACCCTGAACTCATTCCCTTCATCGTGCTCCGTTGATTTGTGTTTTTGTATTGGGGCTGAGGGGGTTGTACCTGTTCAGTACGTATTTTGTTATTGTAGCGACCTCGCTTCACGGTGTTGGTGAATGAGGTAAGCTCTGTGGCTCTCCGAGTTATCATGATCTGATGGTAGTTTGCTAACGCAGGAAATTGTCTTCATGTTTGTTTATGTTTTTGAGTTTACTTTTTCAAATGTTTCTCGACTAAGGCGGAAAACTAGAAAGATAAGCCGTCGTCTAATAGACTATGACAACCTTAGGCAGACTCTATTCTGACTATTCACCCTAATCATTCATGTCAAGGTTAAGAATGTTGAACGGAGTCTGTTCTTTTGAAGGCTTTGCCTTCTCCACAGTTCACCAAACTTATAGATATTTCTGTTATACATGAGACCTCTTGTTTTGGAGCACCGCATAGCAGCGTTTTATTAGGGTGTCCACAAAGTTCGTTGGCCATTTGTAAACAGCGTCGCGTTACGCAACGCGTTGTGATTTTGCATAATGGTTTCGCAATACTGAAAGTACTCGCGATGGGCTATCTTCTGAGCTAGCTAGCTCTAAATTTCCTTTCCTGCCCTTTCCACAATAGTGAAGATGAGTGATAGTTGCTGGACTACTAATCTGGACATCTCCAGACGTCAGGCCACGACCAGGATGCGTCAGCAGTTTGGTGATAACACCCCTTCTAAGAACTGGATGTCAAAATGGGGGACGTCGCTTCACCAATGAAACTATGGCTCGGAAGATACTGGCCGAGGTTTCTGGTTCTGCTCGTCACGGCGCGTCGTCCTCACTATCCAGTCCCAGCCGGCAATCGCAAATGCCACAGTGACGGCAGAGAACACTCGTCCTAAAGAATTACATGGCAGGTCAAGGTGAAAAGCTGCCGCGCTTGTCCCAAGAAACTTGCAAATCCGTGGTGCTGTGGGACAAGGACGTCGCGCGCCCACAAGCGAGAGAATACTCAGCGCCGTCCTGGAACAGCGAATGGGTATTAAGCCCGGACATTCAGTCTAATTGCAGATACCACCAGTCTTCCGCGTCCTGCGAAACTTCCTGGACGGAAAACAGCGTGAAGAACCAGCGCGGACCTCGAGGACGTGATCGGAGGACATGGGGCGAGTCGCGGCTGGCGGCTTCTGAGAGGATGGCGTTTGCTCTCTACCCGATCGTTGGTCGAAAGGTTGGTGGGTATGCCATGGAGAGGTTATATCATGGGACCGGTAAGTTAACTGGTGAGTATATCTGCTTCATAAAAGGCTCTGCAAACACGACAGGTGTTTTGTATGCGCCACAACGCACTTTTGTGGACACGCCTACATAATTTCCAGTCAGCGGTTTTAGAAAATGTCAACCTCGAAATTTTTATCTTTTTGTGTTTGTCCAGATGTAAGGCTGGTTGTTTCGGAGTTGCTTGGGTGGTGAGCTACGGTTTCCGAATCATTTAAGACAGGTACTAGTAAGTCATCTGGATTGTTGTATCACGCGAAGATTTAATCCTTTTTTCCATTGATTGACGTCTTTCAATAGTGGACACCGTAGGCTGCGTTATAGCTTGCGTTTCGTGAAGAATGCCGGAAAATCTAGAATGAGAATTGCGGAAAAGCCAATGGCACTACTTATCGACTTTGAAGAAATGCGAAATGGCAGATGTGCAGAAGTGCTAGAAATGAACGGAAAGCATTACAATACGTATCGATTTGAAGGAATGCCGAAAGTGTAAGAAGTGGGCGGAATCTGGCACTAAGCTGACAGAAGTGGCCAGAAAGTGAAGAGTGCGGGAATTCTTGCAAGAAATGCCGAATAGTGGGGATATGCGAAAAGCAAGATAACGAGCTAGCCGAATTTTTTCCCAGGATCGACTATTCAGTGCATCTCTCTGACTGAAAAGAGGTCGTCGGCGCACAAGACTTGTCTAGGGCAAAGTTGTCCGGTTAATTCTGCAATTCGTTCAAGAGTAATAATAGTATCTATTGCCTCTTTCTGCACGATACGTCTGTGCTGTGATTGTTAACTCCGACTTCTGAATTTCATTCACTGAGCGTACATAACGCTGGTGCACTTCGGCATAGATTGTTGACTAGTTATGGTCTTGTTTCTCCGCGTAGCAATCATGCATTTTATGATTTGCACCACTAAATTTTGGCGCCATGCAATTATAGATCTTGTGTCTTAGTGATAGTTGTTATCCTTTTACACATAAGAATGGGAAGCAAAGTTGGATAGGCTTAGTGTTGCTGAGTAATCGGGCTCTCGCCATTAAGAGCCTCACTTCAACTGCGATTTGCAGACATCTGCCTCCTCAATCATGAGATACCTTCACGCTTGCACGGGCTCTCTAGTACTTTGTCTCAAGTCGAATGGAGTAAGCAGTCAAGCATAGTCCGTTATCACGAGAAAATCGTACTCAGGTTTTATTTGCTTAGAAATCTTTGCTAACTGTGTTTCCAGTCAGAATGTGTTAGTCAACCTCGACTGTTTGCGAGTTCAGATTGGGTGCTCGGCAAGATCGCACATTCTGGTATGCATGGGCACCATGATCAGATTAAGGTAGTCGGAGCGAGCATGACAAATGCAATAATCTGTTAACACGAGGCAATTGAGATGTCAGCGCATTAGTGTCAGTACTGGTTGCAAGATTAGCTTGGAGCGTATGATTTGTGCTTATTGTGTTGATTTACTCATGCATACCTAGTGAATGCTTTGTTGAGAAGGAGTTAGTAGTCGTCAGTGAAATTAGCGTGTTTGTTATTCTTGCTACTTTAGGAAATGCGATTCGGTGCGTTCAGATGATCAGTCACTATTACACTGTGTCCTGGTTGCTTGTATGCATAGAATTACGGTGCGAGCCTACACACGATTCCAACGAGCAATATGGCGGCGGGTATGGTTCAAGCTTAAGATTCAGAAGGAGGGGCGGTGATAGGTCTATGAGTGTAGAATGGTGGGATCGGCTTGGTGTTCAGTCCCGGACCGGCGCGAGGTGATTGTACTCTCTTGGGCAACTCATGAGTCGGTCCGCTAAGGATCAAGAAAGTGTGGTCCTCTTGTTTTAGCGCAACAGGTGGTAAGCATGCTACCTTGAGATACCATAAGAGTTATCTTGCTGGACATCTTATCAACAACCTCGCTAGTTGTACGGTAGTTGTAGTCAGTAGGGAAGGAGACGTTGATAAGTGGAGGATGAGAGAAAGCCGGGGTATTTAGTCGAGCTATTATATCGTGCCAACGTTAGGTAGGGCGATGGAGGCAGCGACCCGCAAAGCGGGCCGTATCGCAGAAGAGTGCCAAAGCGCTGCAGACTGTTACTGGGAACGGCATTGAATGAATTATTTGAGGCTGCCGCTAAACTTGACGCACGCTTCCACACACAACTGGTATGCTTACATTGTGAACCGGATACAGCCTCGATGACTTAAACGAATTTCCGTGTCTTGAGTGCTTGGAAACCGTCTTGAATTTTTAGAGATTTTCACCCACTCAGGGCACGCCCAGCATAAACGTAAGTACGCGTGCTCGCGCTGTTCTCCACAAATAAATCTGCGCTGAATCTTAAGCTACTTTTCCAGGTCTGTGGAGTGCCTGGAACGCGTTATTGCGAATTCTTCCCGAACTTTGCTCCGCACGTCGGTGCAGTCCGCCAACAGCGGAGTGCTACGCCGTTTGGCTACTTAATTTGATACACTTGGTGCCATATCACATTTTGGCACTTCTGCAGTGCTTTGGAGCGGCAAAGCTACGACTTTATTTATACTGTCCCTGCGTGCTCAAATATGCACGCACCGCGCAGCTTAGGCGGCTCAACATGCGGTAAATCATAGTGGTCTTGGCAGACCTGTATATCTTCGATCATGGACTTTTTGCGATCCTAAGAACATTTCCGGGGAACGGAGTTACATACGCCTTTTGTGGGGAAGCGTCCGCCATTCTTAAAGTCGCCCCGGGCATTTCGGTTTTCCTCCTCAATTTGGCGTGCCAACCAAGTGGGCTAATCTAAATTCCACTTTTTCTAGTCTCCGACTGTTGTAGCAAGTTTGGGGATTTTTCATCGTGGGAGCACGGGAAGCGTCGCCGCATCTCAAGTAGGGCCTCGCGCCTTTCAAGTGTATCTCCTCTGTTTGTTGCGGTCCAGGCCTTTGTTATTTACTGCACTGTTCCTCATCTTCGGGGAGTGCTCTGAACGCGAGTTATAACTGTTTTCAGTGACATCGCTAAATCTGTGGACGGCACCCGCCCACTGTGGGCGGGGCTTACCATGGGTCATAGAGTGACTGTTATTAGGTTTTGTCCCATGCTTATCATGCCCCACCTGATCGACCCGCCAAGCTGTTTTTGCAGGTGTCTATGAATTTCGTGAAACAACACCAGAACAACCACAGCACACACACACACACACACACACACACACACACACACACGGACATAGCCGATTATATTAGTAGGATGGTTATTAAGTAAAAGAATTTCGGTGCAGGGCGCGTCGCACGTTGAGGAATCCCCTGCAGACGTGTTCAGTATGAAAAATTTTTTGAGTTTGCTGCTTCATGAGCAGAGGGGGGGGGTGCATTTGCGTTTGTGAATAGCTTTCTGCATCGGGAACAATTTTTCACGGCTTTTCCCTTCATGTATGCAATTCCACCCTCTCCCTCCACCTAGTTGGTGGCGCCTCAGAAATACTGTACAGTCACAGTTTCTGATAGTTGGAATCAGTTGTTAGTTGATGACGACCCCCTACCCGCTCGACGGCAAAATTTTGGGGGAAATTTCGGAAAATGTGAAGGGGGGGCTCATAGAAGAGGACGAAACGTTGGGTGTGGTTGAGGAGTCGTATGTTCCAGAAAGTTAGCTGCAAGACAAGTATTTTGAGGTTGCTTCGATGTTATGGGCAGCGAGTGACATCAAAGCTTTTTTGTCTTTGTCGTCCTTCTACTCTACCTCACTATCATTGCATCTAGTCATTATTTTTCATGTCACATACTTCTTTTCGTGAGGAAACACGCTGGCCTAGCATGTCTTCTGTCCCATCACTCCCAGCTCTCACCAAGACCCTTTTGTGCTCGAAATCATTTTCTGACGAAAATGGTTTTATTGAATGACTTCTTAACGGCATAAGGTCGTGCTTAAAGACAAATCCCGCGATCAACTGTTACAGGTACATAGTTGGTGCTCATTCATGAACCACTGGCCCATAAGTAGCTCGTCATTAGAGAAGATGCGAAAAAAAACCTCAGGAACACCCTAAACACAGACCTCGCCTCAGCAGTGGGGCAGTTTCTTGGACGAGTATGTCGGACGTGAAGAACGCGCTCTCCATAGCGATTGGAGCGAAAAATTCGAGCCTTAGGACATTGGCGTGAGCACCAGGCAATTCCTGGCCAAGCGAAATGCGATATTCGTGTTTGGAGGTAACGAAAATTTTCGAAAGCTCGCTGCAAAAACTGGTCTTATGTCGGAAGTTTGGGGTAGTAACGATTTGATAGTGCCCCATCGAAGAGATCATTAGGTAAGTCTGAAAAACACACTAGCTGCTCTCCAATACTTATCCTCCTCTTGCGAAGAGTATGGAAGACGAATTACCTGCTCTTCAAATATTTTATAATATTTCATTAATATTTTTGAAGTTTACGTACAACCCTCTGAATAGTACGTGCTTATTCGGTCACTAGGATAGTTGAAGAGCTGTAAAACCAGGAGCATATTGTTCTCTATAGCTGCTGCTGGAAGTAGTTACAAAAGTTCAAAATTGACATCCTTTCAGCAAGTTCAACAAGGAAATATGCCAACCAGTGTTTCTTTCACTCCCCAAACTGGCATTCGAATGGTCCAGGCTATCCAGCCTCAACCAGGGCAACAATTTGTCATTGCGCAAGGCGGCCAGCAAATTCAGCATCCCGTGATGTATCTCCAACAAGCGAATGGTTTGTTTTGTTAACTGTGTTCGTTTCGAAGTATTAAGCTGTTTTACTTGAATAGTAACTATGATTTAAGGACAACAAATTCCTGTAACAGTTGGCCCTACATGGAAGTCTTACAACACCGGTTGCAGCAGACACATGGTGGTCATCAACTGCATCAGTTAGATGGAAATGGATGCTTCATTGAAGAAACAGATACGGTAAAAGCAGTCGCCTCTGCTGTGCAAGTAGTCTAGCCTCCAAGCTAGAAGACTGTTCACCTTTCGCGACTCTATTGTGAGCGTGGAGGCTGTTATAGCCGCTCAAAGTGCTAGTTCTAACTCCTCCTCAGTCGGACCGCCTTTACTTGCTAGATGTCCTCCGACGGAGGCCACTCACTTGTTCTTAGTTGGGGCGGCGGGCATTGCTAATGCCCCTGGATAATTCTGCTCTCCTTCATTACAGTTTACTCATTGGAGGTATATACATGCAATTCAACCCATTTCGCGAGGTGAAACGCGTAAAAAACACGAGTGACGCAATATTCGTGATGCAAAACCACGACGCACAAAAAGGCGCGCTACCGTAATCACAAATTCAGACACCGTGTTGATAAAATTCCTTTTTCCTTCCCAGAGTTTTTCTTCTGCGTTTTTGTTGCTTTCTTTTTGTATTCTTTCTTTTGCACTAGACGATATCAACTACTGCGAGATGTGATAGAGAGATCTGTGAGCTAGGGGCTGCACAGAGACCGCAGGGAGGTGTAACTGTGAGGGAGCGATTTTGTTTATGTTGTTTTGGAGAACGCTTCTTGTCTGTTTTCTTCTTTGGGAGATTACTTAGCAGCTGCTGTCTCATAATTGGAAAGCAGCTATCCATGAGACTTTTATCGCGGGAGCTGTCTTTAATGTACAAGAAATCGTTGCCATTCAGAATGCCAGAGACGCTCCTTGTTCATCAAAAACAGTAACTCAGAAGTCTCACAAAAGAATTTCGAAGAAAAAGAAAAGTGTTACGGGTGAGCTTATGCCGTTCATATCGGAATTTTTAAGCTCCCACACTTTGTTCTCCGGTTTTTACTCGTTTTTTTAGATCAGGAAGCACTGCGAATTGCACGGGACTTGTTGACTGCTTTACAGCTGGACGGTGGAGGTGGTGGTGGCATGTCAGATTCGTCCAGTGAAGAAGAGGAGGTAGGTATCAACTTTTTCTGTGTTACTTTATCTCAAATGTCAGCATTTGAAGGCACATTTCGCGATTACCTGGCTAGAGCTTCTTCCCTGCAAGATGGTCCGTCTCGTAGTCGCAGGGGTTATAACAACCTCGTGACTCGAAAGACAGTGACAAGAGTGCTTGGGTCCTGTTTCCGGGGGGGGGGGGGAGGTTGCCCTGTCGTTTAATCGGCAGCGTCTATGGTCTTTCACAGAAAACATCCGGAACAATTTCGAAATGGCTCTTTGTTTATTTCAGGGAGAAAGCTGCTTCAACTAGGGAAAAAGGGTCTATGGAAAATACAGAGTAAACTTTCTAACAGAATATGCTTCAAATAAGATAGCTTTTGCTGCGAATCGGTTATCTCAGCGTGATTACAAGCTGACTTCACTTGGCCGTAGTTAAATTGTTCAAGATTCACAATATGAGAGTGCTATATACGCGTTCCATCCACATTCATTCCACTTTCCAGGAGTGAGCTAATCGTTATCTTTACTAGGTGGACGATGACGATGATCCCATTCGACGCATTGCTGACAGGATCGGCGACGGCCAGATTGAAGACGGTGAACAAGCTGTAAGTGAAAATTATATGCTGCTTCCCATATTACTTTGAGCAGGAAAGCGAGCGCAATTTCTTCTGCAGGCCTGATCTTGTAGCAATGATCTGGTTGATCAGCCATGTGCGAAGATACTTTGAGCTCTGCTTCGAAATCTCTTAGTATTTACATTGCAGTTCGCAGTGTCAGGCAGTATGATTGTGCCGCGGCACCAAACCCTTTCTCTACTGCCAGTTGTTGGAGCGGGTATGTGACAACAATTGGTAATAAACGAACGATACGAAGGATATGATACAGTAGTGTCACTTGCTCGCTTCAACAACTGGCGGAGGGCGGATTGGCACGACGCCAAACTCATCCTGCCTGACACACCCCTTCGTTCGCAGCGAACTAGACTATTGGATTGGCTTCAAGTAAGGGCGTTTTTTTAACTGATAACTTTGCATGAAGATAGAATTTTCGTGTCCGATTGCCAAACCATGCGATAGAAAACTTTCTGCAACTTAGCATAGCATGCATATCTTTTTGGCGAGTTAAATGCTTTCGATTTTTGTGTAACATTAAAGAAGTGTGGTGAAGTCTGCGAAAAGGCATTTTCTACTCTTTCCTTTTTTGCCTTCAGTCAAAGAATCAAGCCGCAGTTTTCTAATGTGTATGGCCAAAAAGCGACACCTCCTAGAAATGAATCAGGTTTTGCTCAAATGATTCCAAGATTTCTTTGACTTCATCCACCCTTTTTTTCTTGCAATATGAAAATTATGGGACCATCGAGACAACAAACTTCTTCCTTTCTTCCTTCTTCGGGCTCCTGAACCCTACCTTCCACGTTGTATCTCGAGACACAATTGCACACAACTAATGGTCCGGGGCAGGTAAAAATTTGAGCAGCGCACTTCCCTCTTATGACGCCTGATTTGAAAATCGGGCGCCCGATTTTTACCACTTGGGCATCTTTTCAATTTCTCGAGAACTTCTGTGGGTAGGTCCGGCAAATTTCGCATGTACACAGCTAAAGGTTCTAGCCTCCAAATGGTATAGTAGCCCCCTTCCTTATCCCTTGTTCTTCTGCCACTCCTCTATATGTCTCGGCACTTTTGAATGGGATGACCTAATAGGTGAGTCTGCCTAGCTGGCCTAGCTAAATGTGCACACCCAACTTATAGGTGAACAGAAAACGAGTGTCTGTTTTTTACATAGAGGAGAACACGCTAGAATCCCTGTCTATCCTAGAGTATAATTTCATTGACCGCTAGCGCGCTCCCCTGACGCTGTAACGCGACCGCGCCGACAGTCGCGTTGCGATTTGTAAATAACGTCGCCACAGGGGCATTTGTAAATAACATCACCACAGGGCGTTTCACCGCCAAACGCTGCACCGGCGCTGCATCGTCGCAGCGGCGCAATTCAGATTGGTCCTGTGTGAACGTGGATCGGTTTGAAGTCTACAGTTGAAGCAGTGCACCGCTTGGTGATGGTGTCCTCGAGCGCTTATGGCGCGGTCGAATCGCGATCCAATCGAGCGATTTGATCACGATCCAATCGCAATCCGATCGCGAAGTCTGGACGCGGTCTCAGCATGGGCTCGCAAGTGAGATGACAGCTTCTTTAACACATTGAGCTCTGCGGCGTTTTTGCATCGGCTCCCGTTTGCACTTCTGCGTCTCCGCGCGCGGGAATTGTCTGCAACAAACAAACGCGCGGAACGAGAGTACGCGTGAATATCTGATAATTCAGGCGGCGGTCAATGTATAATTGTTGGTGCGGAGGATTTTCTATTCATATTCTCGATATGTTTTGATAACGGTTCAGCTGTTAGTTCTCTCGCGTAACACTAAAAATTTACAGATAGTTGAGGAAGATCCACTGAATTCGGGCGACGATCAAAGTGATGATGAAGATTTGGAAACATTGTTTGATGCCGATAATGTCATTCATGTTGTTCAGTTGAAAAAGGTATGTTTGTATTTGTTTTGTTTTTAGCTGTCGTCTCGTCTATGCAAATGTCAACTTCTTTGGAAACTACTGAGTTGCTTCAGGTCCACCGTGCTCGAAGCAAGTGGAAATTCCAGCTGAAGGACGGGATCATGCACATTGACAACAAAGACTACTGCTTTCAGAAATGCAGCGGAGAAGCTGAATGGTGATTTCTGCGGTTTTGATGATAAGCGACTTTCAAAAGTTTCGGTTAAACACTGCAATGATTTCGGTTTTGCTTCGAGGCCTATCACCATGTTTTACGGCACTATTAGATTCACGTATCAAACGAAAAATCCTCAAAAAGCAGATGCATTAAACGCATAGACTTAGTTGTCTACTAGATGTTAGGTAGTGAGGTTTCTGCTTGCGTTTCACTTTTGCTTTTCTGCATTAAATTGTGGTTTCTAAATGCCTCATCGAAATGCTTCCATTCCGTCCGCTCAACGTAATGAGTGCGTATTCTCGTCGACTGTTGCCTTGTATAGTTCGCATGTTGGTTAGATCTTCGTCCTTTTCTCGGTATAATATTTAGCTCCTCCGTTGACGCAACAAGTAGTCTCTTCGTTGTTCCTTAAGTAAGAAAGCCCTAGCTTCTCTGTAACTCGTCAGGGCCCCTAGCCTACTAGCATTCTTCTTTCGCAGGGACCTGGTTACCTCTTAACGACCTAAATCGAGGGGGTTTGTGTGCGTAAAAAAAATAGTGCTGAATTGCTTACTGTAGAGAGTTCGTAATTTGGTGTGATGCCTATGAATTTTATTTCGTGCTTAATTCGTTTATCAACATTCATTTGTTTTAATTTGATAACGTTTCTACTAGCATCGTCATCAAAGCGTCACGTCTAATCTATTGGCCACTTCGGTTTCCTTTTTGTGATATTTGCTAACGAGTGTTTAAGGGAAGATTGGAATTTATTATATAGTGTTTGTTTCTTGTAGAACCAATGAAGATTATATAATATGTGGATTTTCCGCTGTATATTTGTTGCATCTAAGCAAGTAATGGTATTTTTGTGCAAATGAGTAAGGACAGCGGTTCGGCGCAGGTCAGCGTTGTGGGAGGGTGGTTTTGCACGTTCGCTGCTCCACTAGTTTGGTTTACGAGTTTCACGCTGGTTAAATCTGTGGACTCTTGTGAAGTAGGAGTAAGCTTGTCGAGACATCGTAGAAACTATTTGTCCGGAAAGTTCTCAGCGTGTTGTGCACCTATTTTTTGTACATTCACTGCTGATTAAAAACTCATTCTGCCTTGCTCCTCAGTAGCACATACTGTAGAGAATTTCTTGCGCTATCTGATGGTATAGTTGCCGTTTCACCATTGCTTGATAAACCCCCTTTTTTCAAGATTTTTTTCCAAGCATGTGAAAAGAGCACTTTGGACGATTTTTTTCTTCGACTATAAATTGGGGCAATCCGCAATCGAAACAGCTCAACAAATTAACCAGGTGTGGGCGCCCAATAGTGCTAGAGAAAGCACTGTGCGGAATGGCTCAACAAATTTCATTCTGGAGATTTCAGCCTTGAAGATACCTCATAGCGGTCGACCTAAAGCAATATCTGACGAGGATTTTAGGGGGATTTTGGAGGCTTACCCATCCCAAACAGCTCGAAAGATAGCAGAAGAGCTAGGCGTTGGCAAATCCACTGTTGCGGGAGGTCTGAGACGGATTGGGAAGGTGAAAAAACTCGACAATTGGGTGCCCCACAATCGGAGTGACCGGCAGGAATCGGCACGTCTCGAGGTTCCTTCTGCATTGCTTTTGCGCAGCAGAAACGACCTGTTTTTGGGGCGAATTGTCACCTGTGATGAAAAATGGGTCATGTATGATAACAGGAGACGTTTCGGACAGTGGTTGGATTCCGACGAACCACTGAGGTAATTCTCAAAGCCGAACCCTTACGAAAAAAAGATTCCGGTCACGGCTTGGTGGTCATCGGCTGGTGTGATCCACTATGACTTTTTATCAGCAGGCCAAACCATCACAGCAGAACCCTACTGTGAAGAAAGCGACGAATTGCACCGAAAATTTTGTCAGATGCAGCCAACACTTATCAAAAGAAAGTGTCCGATTCCTTTGCATGACAACGCCCGCCCACACGTTTCACAAATCACTATCCATAAATTGAGCGAATTGGGGGTCGAAGTTCTACCTCAACCGCCATATTCTCCAGACCTTCCCCAGCTGAATATCACCTTTGCAAACATTTTCAGAACTTCTTTGCTGGAAAATACTTCATCAATCAGGACCAGGCAAAAAAGCCTTAATGGATTTCGTGAATTTTCGACCACCCAGTTCTTTACTTTGATGGGATTTCTCGGTTGCTGTCACATTGGCAAAAGTGTGCTGATTCGAATGGTGCCTATTTCGATTGAATCCGATGAGTATTAAAAAAATGACGTTCGTTTAAAGTTAAACACTCAAAACGCTGAGAACTTTCCGGACAACCTAATAGTACTTGCATAGTATTTCACTGCTTTACAAGACTTTACAGGTGCTGTTTGCAAGGGTTTACAGGTGTTTGGCTGGTAACATTTCGTGGCTGAGAAGTTGCAATTGTGCAACATACCCTCCCACCCCCCCCCCCCCTTCCTCCTTCCCTGTCGCCGAGCTGCACCGACATAAAGATAACCGGCTCTTACAGCCTCCCATGGAGAATTCAAATTATGCTGCCGCCTGGGTTGACCTATGTACGGTACTTGAATTTCTTGGAGTTAAATTGAACGTGCATCGCCTCCAGAATGGTTTGTTCAAAGCCACGTTGCAGCTCAGGTACGTCATGCCGCGGAACAGTCGCTCGCTGCGGGTGATGGAGCATCAGCGCGGCTGCGTTTGATACGCCGTCAGCCTGTTCTCCACAAATTGCTGAAGAGTTTAAGCAACTACAGCCGGTGGAAAACAACGACGAAACGACTGATACCAATCATATGATACAGTCTTGTTTCTTGCCGATGGAAAAACGGGATGGCGCTGCGCCGAACGCAGCCGCGCTGACCCGCCCCACCATTCGTTGTGAACGACGCAGCATTTACTTTTTCATTGTCAAAGATGGTGGAAAACGACGACGAAAAGTGACTGCACTTGCGGAGTATGAGTAGCCCTCCATGAACTTCGCACAAATTGTGCGAAGTTTTGGTGGGCTACTCATACTCCGCAAAAGCAGTCATTTTTCGGTTTACTCAAGTTTACGGTTTTCAGTCATGTTCTGGTTTATTCAGCTCATCTTGACAGTAAGTGCGTTCTTTTCCGTCCTTATATAGAACGTTTTATTTTCGTTGTGAAGGCACGACCTTGAAGGCGTATTTTGCATTTTGGGAGAGAAATCTCCTCTCCTTTACTAATAGCCCCTGCATTTGATAGGGTGTGGGACGGGGCATGGCTTGGAGTGCAACAAGGGCGGGTTTCCCCTACTTGTAGCGGACTCTGGATGGCATCATTGTTGGATCAAGGTCACCTGGCTGTGCTCCAGTACGCGCCGCGTCCCACGCCCTCTCATTTGCAAAAATCATGACTGTAGGTAGCCTGCGTTAACAATCACAAGGAAGGCGCCATTTTCGCGGCAAGGCACTGCACTTCGAAGCCAACGCGCTGCAAGATTATCACTTGAGCCCATCAGGGATGCCTCACGTTGCCCGTACTGTCGTAATAAACCGTTGATAGCTACGAATCCATTTTCGCCAACGTGTGGACTCGACACACTCCATTATGTACCTAGTCTTTTTCGCGGACTTTCTCACTCCCTAGTTCTGCGATTCCTTGGTTCTTCAGCATCGCTAGACGTGAGCGCGGCTCAGTGGAAAATTCCCTGTGTTAAGGCCGCAAACGTTGAGGATGAAATGGTGGAAATAATAGGTGGAAATAGGGTAGATTCACTGCGAAGTGTGCGGTCACCTCCATTCAAGTCCGAACTCTGCAGTAAGATAGGGGAGGTATTCTATCGTGAGCTTGAATTGCTACGCACCCGTAAGTTACTCTACTGCTGTTCTGAGTGCGGTTTGTTAACAAATATCTGTTAGTAATTCAAGGAATAAACCGCACCATATGCAGCGGTGGCTCCACTACATGTCTCCTGCGTAAGTTGCCCTTTTTCTCTGTGATTCTAATGAAGAGGGCACTGATGGCAAACGTTCACGGAGTAGCGAGCTCTCACTTGGTGAACACGGACCTTACATGGAGTGTGGGAAATGGCAGCAGACAATGAAATGTGTAGAGCTGAGCCCTCCTTGAACGAGATTGATTTCTCATAGCTGTGCACAGCTTATGAGTCCGGATTAGGATCTCCTCCTTTCTAACTTCCAAGGGAAACGAATGCATTGCTCGGCGGATTGGAAGTGTTCATCCAGACTGTAGTTTCGTAAAACTCTGTGCATATCATCAGTGGGACTGGGGTTTAACGACAAGTTCATCGTGCTGTTCGAGGAAAGGAGGGATCGCTAGAAGCGTCGCATTCATTTATTGGTTGGTACTCAGCCATCGGTATCCAAAAACAATATCAGAAGCATATCAGAAATACAGAAGGCAAACGCTCTCTTGACGGAATGCCTAACGGCCATGTCCGCGGAAAGCTAAAGAGAAAGTTGAGCTACCCATGAGTAGAGAAAACAGTCAGCAGAATGTGGGTGGAGCTATGGCCACTGACGAGGGCACCGGTGCACCGGTCAACTAAAATATATTTTCAGATGCTAGCTTTCCTACCCCTAACAATCTGGCTGCACGTTTGCAGGGCTGCAAGGTAAAATTTCTACAAAAAGTGAATGAGCAGTGTAGATAGAGTTTCACGGCGTAGTATTTTGAAACGGCAATGTTGCAAGATTAGAGAAGCGAATCGACTTTTATCTTACTTTTCACTCTAGCCTGACAGAGGGATCTCTACTTCTCTCAGATTTCTGGTAATCTTTGAGGGTAAACGTTAAATTAGCCTTCTTGAGTCTGATGGTGATCTGTCACATTGGGCAGATTCAGTTTTTTAGACTGGATTAGTACATATGTATGAGTATTAGATGTTTAGCAGTAGCAGTGGAATTTTTGTGTCAGGTGCGGTACTATCCACCAGTTCGTTTTGGATTTGGCCTCTTTGGTCGTGCGACGCTCTATGCTGGAACTTCTGGCTTCGGCTCTCGGTCCAACGTACTTTCAAGCATTTTATTCCCGTCTAAATCACCGCTCGATAACCATCAATCAGGAAAATAGGTAGGCATTCTTCAATACTGTGAAATACTTTCTTCAGAACAAAAGGGATTGTCTTTTATACTGAACTTGCTATCACCCTTTCGCCTAAAGAAATCCTGATAGTTGGGATCTTATTTTTGTAGGCACTTTCTGATCGTCTCTTGGATTTGGTGAATTGTCATACGAATATCACTCAGTTGAGGCTCACCTTTACAATCGGAGACGATAATCATATGCCTTGCTAAAATCCTTGCTAGGGAGTATTTCGCCCCTTTGACAAGGATAAATCCTTCGCCGAAGATGAATTCCTTCGTGGGGTACGACACGCATTCTATTTCCATTCAGAATCGTAATAGCTTATTGAATGCGATGTGTCCTATACAACGCTTGGGGTGGGGGGGGGGGGTGGGGGTGTAGCCAACGTACAGTCAGTGTTCCTATCCTCCTAAACGAATCTGGTACCAATTCACCGCGGAGGGTAGAAGGCTTCAATAGCTTGGGCGGGAGTCGATCGGGTTTGAGCCTAGGGCCGCGCGAATGGTAAGCACGCCACTTTTCACTACACCACCTCCGCCTCATTCCTTTTTATGTATACCTCAGAACTCATTCTTTGTACTAAGGATACTGTCATATGAACCCCAGTTATTATATTTCCTTTCCTCACTTGATCCTGAGACAAACCAAGGACTCTCCACGTGCAAGGACGGTACTCGTTGTTATTTTCTGTTTTGTGATAAAATGCAAGTCTGTGGAACGGTTGTGTACTCTAAAATACCTACATCTGGCAATTTCTAGAGTCGATTTTGAGACACCACTTATCGTTCCATTGTCTGATTCGTCTTCGGAAGCAGAGGAGGACGCTGACGGTTCATCAGCGGAGGTTGAATTTACCCTTCCCTATTGATCGTTCTTTTCAATTCTTAAATCTTAACTGGCAAGGGGACTCGAAAAAATGGAGGCGAGAATCAATCAAACGGATTCACTACAGCTAACAAAATAGCCATAGAATTTCCTATCCGAAATTTGAAGATCACATTTTTAGGGTGTAAAGCGTAAAAGGGTGATTCCGTTACCTTACATGGTACAAAGCGAAACATCACATACTTCGAAACGAAGACGCAAAACAATGGCCTCTCTCTTGGGGGACACGGAGTACTTCGTTTGTAAGGTGCGCGTCATTTCATTTCCTGTAGATATGGCGCATTTTTATCCAATGATGTTCAGCATTGTTTCAAATCATTCAATCGCCGTTCAAATATGGTTCGTCATATCGATCGAACGCACTGCGAACGAGTCGTGTTCACTTGCCCTCAGTGCCCAGCCGTCTACAAACACGCCTTTCATTTTGCGGTCAGTCGACGAACTGCTCGTTTGCTTTCCCTCCACCAGTTTGCGGATACAAAACGGGGGAGCTCAGGATCGAAATGTTGAGAATAGAACGAAGGGAAACACTAAGGGGCCCTGTGTTCTTAAGAGCGTTCCTCAAATAGTCCATGATGTTAGAAAGCATTGTTGACACCCACCGTAAGCTTTTAGGATCATTTGCGTGGTCACGAGGATGAACCCCAGTTTGTATGTGAAAGCTGCGACAAGCACTTCAGCTCACGGAATCAGATGAGGGCTCACGTGAGGAGAAGATGCAAGGAGCGTCCTCTGAAAGAAACTGGTAGCAGCTGCCGACGATCCAGACAGTACGACCCACAGCCTGGTCCGTCCACTGCTAGTAAGTGTTGTATACTTCTTTGTCAACCTGCATTCTATACAATTTTCACTTCAAATCAGACACTTTTCAAACCAAGTCAGACACTTTTCAAACGAAATCGGACACTTTTTAAACGAAATGGGACACTTCCTCAACGAAATCGGACACTTCTCAAATCATATCGGATACTTTTCAAATCAAATCGGACACTTTTCGAATCAAATCGGACACACCCCTCACAATAGGCAGCTGATAATTAGACCACACTAGGTACTGCCGCAAGCCCCGCCCGATCATCCCCGCCCACTTTTCAGCGCGGTCACAGTCTTCCGAAATGTTTTATGAAATCTGCTTCTACGACTTCTTTTCACTCTTGCTGGTTGCCCACACACTTAAACTGAAAAGGATTGGTCGATACAGATCTCACTCCGTCCACTTCTCAATGACGTTGCCGCAACTTTTGAGTTTTACAACTTTTTTCAACGTCGTTCTTATCACATTTAATCTTCACAGAACGAATATACTAATATACATAGTCATTTATACCTCCGATACTCTCTGGTATAAATACCATTTTGAACTATTGTTCAAACACCAACAGGGTTGGTTGTTGTAAGGTTTATTGCGTGTTCCGTATGCGGGTAATACATAGTTGATACATATGAATAGATTATGTACATCTTTCATGTTTGACATCAATAGGAAGTAGTCATTGTCAGCATGACTTTTATGACAATTGAACCTATTTTCACGAGTGAATTAATGCCTACATAGTGAGAACAGTTGCAAGAATTCTACAATGTGTAATATTATGTACATATTACCACGTATAATATTATGAACATTGGTACATGATGGTGTCAATAATGAGATCAACATTAGGAAGTGTACACCAATGTGTAAATGCTTTCACATAACGATATGGAGCAATGTACGAATAGCATATATATAGGTGGTTTATTAAGTTGGCAATGAGAGGATGGGCAGAAAGGTGATGCTAGATGAGCAGCCTGCGTAAATGACAAATCTGATGTTAACAACATACGAGGTGTCCTAGTTATAGTGTTAGGGCATAATGAACAGCGGTATGAAGGAACTAGGAACATACATAGTGATCATAATAGTTAAATAGAGGGAGGAAGAGAAGATGGGAGAGGTTTGGGTGCTATGTAATTCTGGAACCCTCCCAGCGTCCTCCAGCGCCCAGCTTGCATAACATCAATTTGATGAGCTCCCATAAACTTGAGCGCCTTGTGTCGGCCAGCCCCCCCCCCCTCTGAAAGAGTGAGATGTTATATAAGCATGTTAAGAATTGGCTTTACTACATGCAGAGCATGAGGCTGTCCCGCCAAGGCTTGAATGGCCAAAAGCAACCCGTTGAGCGGACTGAAAAGAGAAAGACTCCCCACCCAAGGAAGCGATGTATTATATTCCAGAGCGCTTCCTCATTCGCACTGAAGCGAAAGCTACCCACTGCCCCCATTACAATGGGAAATGCCGTTTGAACATCCCATGGAAACTGTGCAGTGGAGTCGCTAGGTACATCGATAGAGCCTCGAAGTGCTGATACGAATATGCCAACTTAAAAGTGCTACGGGGAGACCTCCAGGCGAGATCTTGGGTGGCTCAAAGTTTGAGTTGTAGCTCGTAAAGCGCTCGTGAGTCGATTGCGGTCGGCAATGCCACGTGGCCTCGGTTAAGTGGTCTCCCTTTCAAGCCAAACGATCGTGGGTTTGCATCCGGTGGCCGCGAAAATTTTTGCTGTCGCTCGTAATAACCATCTTTAACGCTCAATTTCAAAATTCTTACCGAAGTTTACGGCAAAGCAGGGCCAAGTTAGAATCAATGTACATCAAGTATCACGACGTACTCAATCTAGTATGGATTTCGCTCATATCTGCCTTCTCTGAACATTTACCCATTCCGACAATTCAAAGTTTTGCCCAGAATCGCAATTTGGCCAAACGAGCGTTCTCGTCGGGAAGTGAATATTTCGTGTTCAGGGGGTTCGAAATCTCCCCATGACTAATTTCTCCCTAAAACTTTGAATTCTTCGGTATGGGGTAATAATGTTTACAGAGAGGGCAGATAGGACCAAATCCATCATAGATCGAGTATGTCCGTATACTTGTTTACGTCGATCTACTTGCCCGCCTGGGCCCGTAAATTCGGATTTCGAAATTAAATGTTGAAGATCTTAACGGAGCGAACAAAAATTTCCGCCCACCGATGCCAACCCAGCATCGTCTTGCACTTGAAAGCGAGACCATTACCACGGAGGCACGTGGCAGCTGCTGACGCATCGATCAGCAGCGCTTTAAAGCCAGACTCAAACTTTGACCACCCAAGAGTCTCGTCTTGCTGAGGTCCCCGCTAGCACTTTTAATCTGCATATTCGCTAATCAGCATATCGAGCGCTGCTATCGGTTCGCACCGTAGGTCTCCATGTCAAAGTTCCATGGAAGTTCAAAACCATTCCCTTGTTAGAGCACTGGTCCGTCTTGGATCTGCTTATATGCACTAACCCATTCCGTTGCCATTGGGCCTTAACCTGGGATATGCGCCAAATTTTTGGGCCTCGCTGATCCTGATAGCCCTTTAAACTGAATGAGAGCTAGAGCAGCGGCTTGGGTAACTTTGGGGTCCTCTGGTAAAGATACCTACGCCTTAAATAACCGTGCCATGTGACTTGGGTTGAATCTTAGTACGTATCTGACGCAGGGGGTGATTGCGCTTTAAGCCGCCTGAAGAAGGGAGTCCTGGATTTCTTTTGTCTACACCTGTGAGCGGGCCACAAGAAGTAGTGAGCGCTGCTACGACGGTCGGCATGGAACTTAGCCTGCTTCCGCCGAGCATTTCGCCAAGAAAAGATTCCTGGGCCTGTGGCAAAGGGATGCTGCGCATGTAAGGGCTGTTTTTCCAGATTCTTTGAATCTCTCCACTTCAGACGTGTAGGCTTTGATCGTAGAAGGAGCTCTGTCCCGAGTGTGATTCGCATTTATTATGGCTTCGCTGATATGAGGCATTCCCAATTGTTTCTGCTCTTCACCCCCAGAGAAGCCGCTTCGTTAAACGACGGCTGCAAAGAGAAAATGAATTTTCAGCGAAAAAAGGCGGGCGGTGGGACACACCGCTCACGGTCAACGCAATAGCCTGGAATGACCATACCAGGCTACCAGGAGATCAACATGCCATCTGACCAGGACCACGCCCTTGCGAATATAGCGTGGTCCATGGTGCACTGGTCTACCATGTGATCCCTGGCACACTGTAGCAACTATTTCGCAAAGTCAAATATCACTTATACCTCCGATACTCTCTGGTATAAATATCCATTGTTGAACTAATTTGTTCGAAACCACCAACAGGGTTGGAACTGCAAAGCCGGGGACCAGCCTAAACGTCCGGAATAGGCGCCCCGGTGCGCGGAAATCGGATTAACAGAAACACGAAAGGCGATAACGAAAATTCGGACCCGAAGCGCACCCGGAAATTGATGGATTATTTGGAACAGTTTTTGTACCACAGGGAAGCAGACACTTGTCTAAAAACGAAATCGCCGACTGGAGTGTCACTATATTTGATAATTGGGTAAAAAGGCTGTGATTCCAAAGCGGGCACCCCCAAAATGCCTTTAGATCCATGCATTTTTGGCCCATTTGAGAGTTTTTTGAAATCATATTGATTGGTGGAACTAACCATAGAAATCCTATTTTTTCCACGGTTCAGAATGAGCGAAGGCGTCAATCCCTGAGGATCCTGGACAGTGAAATCTGGAAAAGAATATATCACATCGTGCATTTCTATCATGGCGAACATATCATCATTTGGGGCTCTCCCCATTTTGAAATGACGGCCGTTGAAATACGGATCTGCTATTCTCCAGTCATCATAATCTATCTGGCGGCTAGCAAAGTCTGCCTCCTCATTAATCTGATCTGGGAATCCATCTAACTAACAAGATTGGAACCCGTCGTTGTCTTTTCTAAAATCCCAAATGCTTGTGCCAGCTGATGCAGGTGATAGCCCTAAACTCCCCTTATTTGTATATGGTCACCGAACTTTGGCTATCAGTGTTGATCAACACACGATCAATAGGAATCTTTTGTAAGTGTCCAAAGCAAAGGGTATGGCAAAAGCTCTCTAGCATGTGCTAGGATTCCCCTAGGAGATAAATCGAAGTTCTCTAAATGTGTGCGCCACTGTTAACCGTTGCTGTCACGCAGAATAGCTACTTACTGAGTGATCTGATGCCATCGACATCTGTTATATGTAGATATGGTACTGCCTGAACCTGAGTATCAGGCATACTTGGGGCCTTGTCGTAGCCTAGTAGTCCAGTAGTGTAGCTCGAGGTGCTCTCGCTTGTATGAGGCCATGCCTTGGACAGCGGCCAATCCTGAGCTTGCGCTGTGCTGCCTATCCCACGAGAGACTGCCCTGGTATTTGCGTTTATCTTACTATGTTCAGGACAGGTGCAATGAAACAGTGTTCCGGCCCAACGTAATCTTTCATACAGTGAAGGCTTGAGGATGCGAGCGCATCACATCGAGTCGGGTGCACTGCCTTGGCCAACCTCTCTGGCGCTACTGCATATGGACATATGAGATAAATCAATATTAAAACCTAACCCATGTGCACGATTGCCGGAAGAGTCCATTACATTTCTCTTCGGCGAAGCAACCAACCTGCCCGCTTGAGGTCGGACGGATAATAGACACGCTTTCTACACAGGCTGCTCTCGATCTTTCAAAGATGATACCATCATACAATGTAATAGCGATTGCCCCTACCCTGGGCTCTCCATACCTTGATGAAACTGCGGAGTAAATATTAGGAAGATGTAGGGTGCGGAAGACAATCCGAAAGGTAGGCAAAAAACTTGTAAATTTATCCTCCCAGTGAAAATCCTATAACAGGTCTGTGTGGTTTTGTGCAATCCGCACATGATGATATCCTGCTTTGAGATTCAAAAGTACCATAAAGCCTCCCTCAGGCAAAGCATAAATATGCTACTGATATCATCCAGCTGGATTTTTGGCACATGTAAGAACTTATTCAAATGAGATAAGTCTAATACAAATCTAAGCTTTTTACCTTTGCTACTGATAGAGGGGTGAACATGAAGAGAGTTTGTGGGCACGATGGAAACTTCTGTGAATAGCTCAGTCAGAGAAGCTTCTGAAATTTCTTTATTCCCGAAGTCTTTGTGCATGAGAGCTGACTTTCTGTTGCCCGAATTCGCTGGTTTCGACGGGAGTTGAATATAGGGCAACGGAGTACCCGTTAAGCACTGTGGTCGAGACCAGCTTTGAGGGCTCGAGAGCCAGACATTCCATATGGAAACAATGAATCGAACCAGCTAAAAACTCACTAGTGATGTTGCGGGCACTCTTTGGCCAGTGACCTTCTCTTCCGCAAACGGTTCAGGACGACTTTCTTTCTATTTTTCCTCCTCTTTGTAAGAAAATTACGGAACTCCCTTGTCGCGCGCGTGGAGGGATGTCACGCCTGCTTATGAATAGGGCTGGCTCCGTATATGGCTTGCTCCAGTATGAGGTTGTCGGCACGACGGGCGAAGGAAGCAGGGCGCCATGCTGCTTCCTTGCCACGAAAGGCTGCGGTGATGATGACTTTCGTTCCTGCTGCCCTCTTGCTCCTTCTTGCCTGCTGAGACTCCATAAACTCACTAAGTCGGGGGGTCCATAGACTTGAGGGAATCCGACTTAATCTTGCTATCCAGAAATTGGAATACTTGCGGTGGGGCCGCGATTATGAGTGTTTCATTTCTCACAGCTAGGTTCCTGGATCACATCACTGATGACAGTACTACATTCTTGGACATTCTGCAGCGATGATAACTTTGCTAATGATGGTATTATTAAAACTCATACTGTCGTCCGAATCCTCGCTCTGAAAGTGTGCGTCGTCCGGGCTTTAGACGTTGTCCGGTGTTTTCCGATTTAACTGCTTGAATTATTGATTGTATATCTCTCGGGTCCAGACGAATTAACCGGCTCAATAGTTCTTCCTCGAATAATTTGTTGTTCCGGCGGTTGATAGGGTAGGTGCTGCTCCATTTCCTCTCTTGAATAGGAATATCTCTTGTTGAGGCATTTCTGACGAAATAGTTTTGAGGGAATATCCGATGCAAAAACAGACGCGGAGCGAGAACACACCGCTCACGGTCAACGCAATAGCCTGGAATGACCATCCAGGCTACCAGGGATCACACCATCTGACCAGGACCACGCCCTTGCGAAATAGCGTGATCCATGGTGCACTGGGTCACCATGTGATCCTGGCACACTGGTAAGCAACTTATTTTCGGCCAATAGTTCAAAATATCACTTATACACTAGCACACTAAGCACAGCCCCCTGGCCACGCCCACTTTTGTGTTCTCCAAGGAATTTTGAAATTTCTTCCGATTTTCGCTTTTGCAGGCCGTAACAAGTGGCCCACCCACTAGTATAAGCTCCGCCCACCTTGTACGAGCCGCGCCCATTTTAGGAGACTGTTCCAAATCGACAGGTTAGAGTCCGTACTGGCACGTTATGGCCTCTCCCGTCCCTCATAATGAAGTTCCGCTTTTTTTGGCGTTGTGTGTGACGGGTGAGGCCATATCGTGCCAGTACGGACTCTAGCTTGTCGATTTGGAACAACTTCCAAAAATGGGCGTGGCTTATACAAGGTGGGCGCAGCTTATAGTAGTGGGCTCTGAGAAGAACGACGTCAAACCTTGCGGTAAACTCTTTGAGAAGTGGGCGGAGTCAGATCTGTATCGGTACCAATCCTTTTCAGCTGAAGTGTGTGTGCAACTAGCAAAAGTGAAAAAAGTCATAGAAGCAGATCTCATAAAACATTTTGGAAAACCGTGACCGCGCTGTGAAGCGGGCGGGGATGTTGAGGCGGGGCTTGCAGCACACCTTGTGTGGTCTAGTTATCAACAGCCTCTTGTAAGGGGTGTGTCCGATTTGATTTGAAAAGTGTCCGATTTAAAGTGAAAATGGTATAAACAAGGATCAGACTGACTACGTGCCTATATAGCTTTCATTTTCAAAAAGATGCTGGTTTTACCATCACGGAAGAAATGATTGATGGCAACGGCTGGTTAAAGCACTCAAAGACAGCTATAACGACACACAGCTGTTTGCAACACGTCTGCTATGCACACTTCTTAGGGCCGCGTGCAGCTCTAGTTACTTTTGGTGGCCTTTTCTTCGAGCGGTATCCTATTTCCCACATATACAGCCCCAAGCCCTTTGCTAACTCGACCTCTGCCGTAAAATCTTGGCAAAGAAATTTCTTGATTGTTCAGATATGCCGAGCAGCACTGGTGTATTTCACATTCCATATGATTTTCCAGTCACGCTATGACGTGAGTTTTCCTTCTCTGTAGATGCAACAGTTATATTAATTAGTAATTTCTTATTTCTACACTAGCTGGAGTAAATATTTCTCGTAGAACTACTAGTTCCGCCTATGCGCATCCAATATTCAGACGGGAAGGATGTTTTGACAGAGTTGGGCCCGTTTTTCGTCCCATTGTTTCCCAAATTCTATCATAGCGTTGGGATGCCATGGCTACAGCCATAGCCGGCAGCAGGAGACGTTTTCATGGTGAATTCATTTAGGATCCACTTCAGCTGAGTCTTTACTTCGGATGCATGTTGATGTAATAAACACATGGTTTGTGCTGCTGCTGTTACTTCATTATTCGCAGAATATTTCTGCGGAATGTACAGTTAAGCAAAGAGGTGAGCAGACGTCGCTCTTGATTTTCAAAACCTTTTCACTTTGAATTTGAAAGCTTTTCTGTGAGGTGCAATGGACATCATTCGCTGAAATTGAACTGAAAGTTCTAATAACCGTAGCAGTCATGGCTTCATTGCAGTTTTATTCATCTTTATTTTACCCGGCGATATTTACACGGCATCTGTCCCAGAAGCATTTTCTGCTGCGTCCATGGCTATCTTTGAGAACTGTCTTTGATCGGTTTGAGTTGAGCAGTTCGGAAATAAGCGGGTTTCTATGCTTACAGCGGCCACAGGTTCCTTAGAACACACTTTCTTGCGGAACCCAACATATCAGCGCTTTCCGACATGCATTACAATTTCTGAAGAACAACTAATTCGAGAGATATTCTTAGTTTATAATGTCCGAAATTCTTGCCTAGGATTCCCTATGTGCCTCTGTAGCGTACCTCTGTCAGAAATTATCTGGACGCTCTTAGAACGCATTATCTTTGAGATGAGTGAACGAACGATTGGTTGGCTCAAAATTAATTAATGTCTCCCGAACGTGCCATGCATTCGATTTCCACTTTGAATTGGGGTATTCAGAAAGAATCTCCCTCAGCAATCTCCTGTGCTGGCCGCAGTCGTCTGACCTCTCCTGTATTTACTGATCTGCAGTGCTTGACGCTCACTGCCCAAACGTTTGAGACCCCTCTCTTTTCATCAATCAGATGCGACTGCCCAATCGGGTCTCCCTATGTGCGTTGCCTCGAACCACGTAGTTGTCCTGCTGGCAAGGTGCATCAAAATTTCGAAGCTATTGATGATATTTTTTAGTAGTGCAGGGGTGCAGGCAAACTAAAGACTATTCACTTTTTTGATCTTTGTATAAGAACTCCTTCGATATTTTGTTTTCAGATTCCAAACTGAGCCTCAGCCCACTAGTACAATTCTACGGTATAGACCCTAGCAGTGGTGGGAGTTTCTCTTTTCTTGCCTGAGTTGTTTAGCTTATTCCATGCTCTTGATATCGATACTGCATTTAAAATAATTTACCTTAATATCAGGTATTGCGAAACATGTATTTCTTTCGACGGCGAGTGCTTTTGATGGATTGACAGTCGATTTACTAAACTATACGCTGTCAGCAGATGCTGGCCTCCTTGCTGACAGCAGCAGTTGTCCAGCCGACTGCTTGACGACCTTAACAGCGTACATGAGCGAAAAAGAGAGTGAGTATGGTTTCTTTCTTTTCTTGCTTGGAATTGCAAGCGCTTCTCTTTTATGATAATAAGGCCCCTTTCCTTTTTGTTGAGCAGTTTCCTTCTGCTATATTTATCAACTTCTGGAAAAATCTGTTCTGATAAGTCTTGAATAAGGCAGCCAATGTCATACCTGGGGTATGAGGGTGAATGATTCCTCCACCTAGGATTCAGTCATCATTAACGAGGTGGAAAGCTACCTCATTTAGCTTAGGAATGTCGTGCTTAACTGCAAAGTGCATCGGTTAATCAGAGGTCACTGAGCTACACAAATCGGCACAAATCCATTGCAAATACTCAGTCAAGTGGGTAAAGAGATCGCTATATATTTCAGATATTAATTGGTTGGAAAAATAACAAAAACAAGTGTTCAAAACGAAAACAAAAGTAGGCACCGTATACCCTTTACTGCCCCATTCTTTCGAAACCAGGCTAAAGTTCTACTGACTTTTTTCTCCGTGGGTACATTCGGGAAGACTTGTCCTCAGGGGTAATTCGTCCTCCTAATACGACCATCCCATCCGTTTGGCCCGAAATAGCGACCGTCCGGGTTACATGCATCGACAGCACATGCTTGTTTTGACTCCGGCCCGCGTAGCGCGGATCCTGGCTGTTTCGTGCTAAGCGAAGTGCTGAGGTAGATTGAGAAATACCTCCAGCCAGGACAGTATACTTTTTTCGCCTGCGGCATTGTTACCTCACTTCGCCAAGGCACAGTTCACAGAGGAGTAGGCTAGTATCTTGGAAGAAGGGTGCGGACAAGCCAGTTTACTGCGCTGTCACGTGTCCTCTTTTATTCTCATAATTCCATCGGCATCCCATGCAGCTTAACGTGTTCAGGAGATCAAGCTACTCCTGGAGGAACGTTTTTCAGCGAAGTGGATGATATACGGTGCTTTACCACTAGAGCCTGTGGCGCGGGCGCAAGCAGCTTCGAACCAAGCGGATGCGATAATGTGATAGCCATGTTGAGGAAGTCAAACTACCTAGTCTTTAAAAGGTGATTAAAGGGGATTTTGCCGCCTGCACCTGTGGTGCGAGCGCCAGGCGGGTTGAGACCACTTCGATAATATTAGTGCTCTGACTGCCTCTGCAAAGAAAATTTTAGCCAAGTCTGTCCTTATGAGCTTCTCGCTACTGATTTGGAATGGGTGAGTATACACTTTTCGTTGATGATCAGTTCATAGCTAGCCACATTACTATTCCTTGCGCAAATTTCCGTCACGCCGATGTAAGGTTTCAGGGATGGTAGTGATGTTGCGCCCAGTTGATGTAGCGAATTTTCCTGGTTATTACAACATGGACATTGGTGTGATATATTGCACGACGGCTGCTGGATACTGTGGTGCAGATGCTCCCCTTTACCTCTACTACTCTGCTACCTTGAAAGGTACGTGGTACACATTCAAACAACTTGTCCATTCTTTTTTGTTCCGGAGGCGTTTATTGTCCTTCGTGGCGGTACGTTGTCTGGTTACTAATGACTATGCTTCCTAGGAGATAACTAGGGGCATAATGCAGTCTCTCGAGAGCATGCTTGTAGGCACGGCCCGCATTTAAAAATGTTGTGCGGCTCAAACACTAATGAGAAGTCGGTATATACAGAAATAAAGAAGAAAAAAGCAGGAAAAAATCGTCCAAAATGCCACCTATTGATTCTCATGCTTAACCATGCTTTTATCCTGCATAGGGCGAAAAAGGGTGTGGTTGGACGAAACTGCTCGAAAACGAGTGGGTAAGTAGCGGAACAACCGCACTATCAGAATACTTCTAGAAATGAAAGTTCGGCATTCCTGTGGTTAGTGGCTGGGAGCGTGATCTGGTCACGAGCGGATCGCGCTCTTCTTAAGTATTTCCTAGCTGCAGAAATGGTACATTCTCCATGTTTGCGGACTACCGTTCCAATGAAGGCGTCTTAAAGACAGTTCCGCGATCAAGTGTCATCTTGTTTGTTGTTCAGTCATGAACCAGAAGCTGATAAGTAAGTCCCTAAAGAAGAGAGAAACGAAAAAGAATCTCAGAACACCATAAACGAAATCGCTTCCTGAAAGTCACACTGCTCTGCGGTCTCTGTAACCCCTTGCTCACCGATCGCTTTTTCGCATCTCACAATACTAAATATCATCCAACGCGAAGAAAAGAAAACGAAAAAGAACCAAAACATTGACGCAGGACTCGCAACAGAAAGAAACTTCTGAAAACTCTGCGTACGAATTTATGGATTACGGTGGCAATGCCGGTCGAGCTTTTGCACCAAAAAATTGCATCGCTAGTAATTTGAACAAGCCTTACTTCGCGAGATGGATTGATGTTGACTGTATGTGCTCCTAACGACAAAAAAAAAGTAATTGAGCGCAAAAATACTTACGTGGACGAGTGCAGTTCTCAAATGTGGACCTTCAGTTCCGATTTATATTCGCCTCCCCAACGAATAACAACTGAGCACACCTGCATCAGGTAAGAATAGGACATCCGTTGGGTGGGCAATCCAACATGTGTTAGAACTAAAACTTTCGGCGGCTGTAGCACCCTCCCTGAGAAGTCGCGAAAGTGGGGCAGTCTCTTAGCTTGGGGGATGATCGCTAAAAACTAAAACTAAAGTTCGCTTAAAACTTGTCTCTGGACAGTGGCGTACCACAGATATTTGTGTCGTACTTCTTCTTTAGACTATTACATTGGACTTGCATCTGAAAGCCGCTCAAAGTATTCTGTCCAGAACTCAGGGAAACCGCATTGCTTTGTATGGTCGAACAGGTAAGTTTTTAGCAATCACGATATCCAAGTAAGCACTTAAAGAAGAACTGAATGACTTTCTTTATGTGTAATGATAGGTAGCTGTATGTTTTACTGTGAATTTCAGTTATACAACGACAACGACGGCTTCTTCAACCACCTTACTGACTATTATTAGCACTTCCACAACTGCGGCCACAACTGTGGCATCCTCCATCATCACCAATGGCTCAAATACATCTACCGCTACCACCACCACTATTACCCCAACAACATCCTCCATCAACAGAAGTGGTACTAATACAACTACCTCTTCCACCAGCACCACCGCTGCCAGCACCCCAGCAAGCAGCAGCTCTGCTGGAACTTCTTACACCACTGCCAACGTCACTTCTACTAGAGTAGAGTTGACACCACTACCACCTCCAGTATCAGTGGTACCTTCTGCCAGCACCGGTACACAAGGAACCTCTACCAACGCGAGTACCACAGCAACATCTACCAGCGCCGGTACTGACTACTGTCTCTACACCTCTACAAGCACCATTTTCTCTGGATCGTCTTCAAATCTAACATCCACCGTAGGAAAACAACCGGCTGTCTCACAGATAAACAGCACTGTTCCGGAGAACCAGGTATCACCACGGATTCATCAAACCGAATGGAGGTAACAGAGAGTTGATTATCTCAAGTTTCACTATTTTTTCCCCTCATAGTAATCAGAGTTACGAAGAAAATCATCAAGAATGAGAAGTCTTTGTCTTAGTCAAAGAAACTGAACAAATAAGAAATCCTGAAGAGGGGAGGTTTAAACGTAAAGGTGTCTCACCAGGAAGGTCAACAGGTCAGTCGCGGCCATTTCCAATGAGCTGCACACCGTTGCACGCGTCTTGGGACAGTGAACTCGAATCTACCCTCAGAATTTTCGGACCGACTCTCTGAAGCGATTTATGGAGGGTTTCATCCCCGCCGTGTTCTCTCACATGCTATCGCGAGACACGTGAAGCGTCTTCATATACAAGATGGAATCACCATTTGAAACGTGGCAAATAGAGCGCAACGGATAGCCGACGGATTTAAGTGGGCGAGACGTCGTAAGATCGATTCTCGCAGAGTGTCTTTTTGCATTTATCCAAAAACATGACCGACAGAGCTTCTAACATCTCTGATCGCCTGCACTATCCTGTAAGGAAAACTGCGACCAGTTCTTTCGAAAGTGTAAGACCCATTGTGGCCTGAAGAGTGCTTGTGCTTGTCCCCCCCCCCAGCAATGTCGCAAGGTTTTTTGCAATGTAATACATGATATTCGTGTTCAGAGGGTCAATTTACCCTTGGAAAAAGTTTCTAGGCTGAATCTGATATTTCGACCTAACTTGGAAAAATGTGAGTTATTCCACGGGTAATTAGCAGCAGTGTCATGGCTAGTCGCTCCGTAGCGTCACACCCGACCCTAGCTGGGGGCGTCGTGGGCGGCTGCCAGAGCGGTGGCTAGTGGATGACAATATTACAGTTTCGAATAACCTCAAATACAAGACGATGAATACGAGATATGTTACGGCTTTGAACCGTTAGTATTCGCGAAATTACAAGGCTCTCTATATAATTATTCATTAGAGATTCACACACATACACACTATATATATATATATATATATATATATATATATATATATATATATATATTATTAATATATATGAATATATTATATATTATATATATATATATATATATTAATTATATATAATATATATATATATATATATATATATATATATATATATAATATATATATATATATTATATATGTACACGTGGGCTATGAATCCTGCGGGCTTCGACACGCGGTTGAGCCGCTTACACGTGGGATTGTGGTGTGGATGTGCCCAATGGAGGAGGCGGGGCTTATCAGGATGCGCGTCCCTATGCCTGCGGTGAACACTTTAGTCAAGCGCGCACACTCGACGGGCTAGGAAAGTCACGTCTAGCCCTATAGCTTGCCAACAAGCTATACTCTGTCTCTTCTCGTAGTAATAATGAGGCTTCGCCTCTCGCTTATAAGACAGTTCACCCAGTGCGCCTCCGCAACGGCTCCTCACGCTTATATAGCCCTTCGCTCTGGCCCATTGGCGTTGAGTGTTTTTGCATGGAGTGTTTACCTGTGTCCAACGCTAGGGGCTCCTCCGCCGTGCCGGAGACGCATCAATACAGGCATGTCCGACTGCCCAAGGTCGACCATGTATCGATTTGTGTAAGGGGCAAGCGGCAATAAACTATGAACATGACATAAAACAGGTGCAAGGACTTAACAAGACCCAGGCAGTACCTGACATTTTCCCCCCTTACGGTAATGGCTGCCCACTCAGCCCATAACCACCAGTTACAAACAGATATAGGTATTGATCGAAACTATCGATATATCCAACGGTTAAGCATTACTTGATTTAAGAGAAACATTCATTTTATGGCAGCATACGGAGTAATGAGGATACATATGACTATCATTGGATGCGACATGCGAGGTAATAAGGATACATACGAGGTCATCGTATAATCTACCACAGAACTACGACAAATAGTAAGCAGTACAACATGTCAAAAATAGAGGTACAACGTATGAAAAGCGTACAGTGACACGTCTTCCGCCCCCCCCGCTGGGTTGGCTGCCCCACCTCAGCCCGGGTTGCCGCCTGCGACCCCTGGGTTAGGTACGGGTCTGGTTGCGTGCCTCGCATCGGGTCTCGGATATCCGAGTAAATTGCGTGCCTTGCACGGGTCTCGTATTGCTCGCGGATATCGCGTCCTCGGCATCGGCAAATAGCGTCCTCGCGGATATTTCGATGTCTGGCCCTCCCATGGTGTCGACCGTGTGTGGGTATCCTGAATAGCGAAGTTTTGAGGATTCGAATTTTGTGATAGTGGCGCGCAGTCGAGCTGCTCGATTGGTGCTGACAGCCGGCGTCGCCTTTTCCTTGGCCCGATGGCCTTATCCGAAGTCAGTCCGACTCTCTTGCTGCCTGTCTGAGTCGGTCCGGCTCTCTTGCTGGTCCTCTCGTGCGGTATCTATAAAGAGTGCTTCGACTTCGGCCGTTCTCCTGTATGGGTGCAGGCGAAGGTGGATTCCATAGCAGATGACAGTCTCGTTCAGCGAATCTCCTTGGCGCTCCGGCGGGCGTATAAGATGGTGTAGTGCGTCCGCGGCGCCACACCAAGTATACGATGTGGGGCTCTATTCCCCTCGTCCGCCTTTGTTGGGAGGCAAATTGATGATGCGGCGCTTCAAGGCTGGTCGCTGGCGATAAAGCTCATCTTGCGACGTCGCGAAGAAAATCCAACGCCTTGCTCCCCATTCATAGTCATCCTGAGGGACCACGATCAAAAACAAGTCGGCTCCATGATGGCCACAACACACTGTCATAATATCAAGGCAACGGGTGTGTTCCAGTCATCCAACGACGCTTCGAACGCGTTGGGAAAACAAGACAATGGCGACAGTTCGCTCTGAAACCATTGCCGGCTGATGTCACGCGGCTCTCATACGCGTAGCGTGCTGCCAGTCCGTCGTAAAATCCAGATACATGATTGCGGAGCCAGCCGGGAGGATGACAACGGTCGTTTTTGCATTCGTATTTGACCACACTTTCAATACGGTCCACGCCTTCAATAGGACTCGAACTTTTCAGGGCTTCACCTAACGATTACGATTGACATCAAATGATTGGTCACCGATTCGGGGTGGGTGTGCCTCTGCTCTTCGATCTGCGCGCCAATGAACGAGCGACTAATGTGGCATGCATGCCCCCCTGAAATACGCGTATGCAATGGCTTAAAGCGATTGGTGACAATGTGTGATTAAGAATCATCAAGTAATAGATCACGCTTGACAGCGTCTGTATATGAGTCGACATCGCAATCGTTGAGAGCTCGTCCTAGCTCGTAGGGCGTGTCGGTGCCCATTCTGGCACTGGCGCATTCGGTTAGGATTGTACGTACCACGGGCGCTCGGAACAAGCACGGCCAAATGCTGGTTGTGGTGGCTCGTAGAGTCCCAGGACACTGGGAATCGACTGTGGCGGGATCGTTCTTGTTCGGACCGGCGATACGCTGAAAGTAATACGATTGCATTAGGAATTGTGAGTGAATCGTGTCCCTGCTGTCAAGCGAGGTGCAGCACTCTGTCGCTACAGGTACTCTCTTTTTAGGTCGCCTTCACGCCCTCTTTTAGTGAGACGAATCTTACGGGGGTGTCGGTCATTATCCGGCGGTAGCTTTTGACGACGGTGATCAAACGGAATTCTCAATAGCTCCTATCGCTTATCTCTATCAGAGTGATCCAGAGCTGAGTTCCGACTTGCCTCAAGTACACTGATAGGGTCCTGTCCAATCATAGGTCAACTTAGGATGAGATGCTTTGCCCTTTTCTGCCGGTATTATTCATATACACTCTGTCTCCCGTTTGGAAATGTTTGCGACTTTGCTGTTTTCCATCGCTTGTCATAGGAACTTTTCATCGCAAGCGCCGATATTTTTCAGCGCGTTTCTGTTAATACATTCTCGCGCAAAGGTTCAAACCACATAGGAACTCAGTCTTTATAATCATCATAGTCCACCTGATAAGGCGACAAGTGTTCCCTTGGGATGACTGAGACGGGTTACTGCGGATCACGTCCGTCCACACGCAAGAAATGTGGGCTATTGCAGGGTTGCCTGCGTGTGGTGAGGCGTTGTAAGCATACACTACTGCCGTAGGATTCTATCCCATTCTGGCGGGAACTACCGTCTTTTCTTGAGCATGCTTGCGATCGTGCCATTGGTTCGTTCTGTCAGTCCATTTTTGCGTGACAGTATCCTTTTGTGAAATCTTGTCAATTTTCAGGATAACGCAGAGTGCTGGACGACAGCATTCTCGAACTCTCCACCGCGATCGGGAAAATGCACTCGGGCCATCGCCGCTCCGAGCATATCCACGGCCTGAAGATCACTTCAGCGATGGTATGCGGCTTTTTTGTCGGCGGGACGGATAGGCACCAAGGTATTGGTGAAAATGTCGACAATAGTAACAATGTATATGTTACCTCTAGTTGTCGTTGCCATTTCCTAGGACGTTACTCCAATAACTTCCAAATGGTCGTAGAGTACGTCTTTGGTTTGAAGTGGTGGGACGTTCAACCGGCCCTTGGATTTGTCAGAAAACATTTTTGGCCATTGGCACACCACTTCTGCAAGTCTGGTCTCATTCCT